GAGAAAAATAGGACAAAGTTGTTGAATCCAAACACGACTTTTGATAAAAATCTTGACATACCCTTAAAAACTGATGGCCAAATGCCGATGGATTTCAAAATTCACTTACTATGTTTGGTTACATAAGCGATGTCTTCCTTGCACTTTAGATTGCGTGTTCTGTAATCATTCTCATTTAGTGTAGTGAGATGCATGTTCGTAGACACTTCGAAAACAACTGTTTACAACAGCTCATTGATTGTAAGATCGTCTAGCGCAAGCTCAACAATATTGCGTATGTGGATCTTTCTCACTGCTTGCATAATCAATTATTACTTAAGAGAAAAGCGAATATTTGAAATGATAGTTGAAACTTTCCAATGCTATAGAATCTAAATTTGTATCTCGATATAGATAGAAACGATTGAAGTCTCAATGCACAACAATTAAGAATAAAAAGGTATGTATATTTTTTATATAATGTATATCTTCGTAAAAAATAATAATATTTACATAAACGTAAGATTTAGTAATGATTAATTATATTTGTAATTTCTTTTTTTTTTAATAAAAAATATTTATATTGTAAAAATTCATGATTATTTTTTGTAATTTTTTATTAAAAAAATTGCATATTTTTTATAATTATTGTCTTTAAATATTGAAAATATATTTTTGAATTTTTTCGCTTTTAATAAAAAGCGAAAAAAAAAATAAGCTATTTGTTTATTCATTCTATATATAATCGTGATATATTATGATTAAGTAAAATAATTTAAAAATTAAAAATTTTTTTATAATACATTTTTTTTATTTAATATATAAGCTAACTTGTTATATAAATTATATTGTTATATAAGCTAACTATAAAACAAACATTGCTAAATTATTACATGATTGTAGCTCGAATGAAATTTAAGTACACGAATGATGTCTTTAAAATCTGTAAATATAAATAGTAAATACAATTTGAATTTATATTATATATTAAATTTTAATCAAGCAACATATTTGTAAAGACTCACATTTGCAAAAGTAAACAGAGATAAATCAACTATTCCTCCAGCACTTATTTTCGTTGGACTATTTGATATGGCGATTATTAGGATGAGTCCTTGAATTGTCTTAACAGGTAAGTGATACCAATCAATCATAAAACAGGATAATCCAATGCTGCTGCTCTATAATATATAAAAATCAAAAAAATAATGCAGTGATTTATTAATTTAGATATTTTTATTATTAATTATTTATATTATTAATTATAAACTAAATAAAAAAATGCGAAAAAATATATTGTAGTTTTATATTAGATAATTTAAAATTTTTTTTCTTCTATTTTTTATTGTATTTTTTTTATTTATTATTATTAAGTTAGAAAATTTATGAAATAAATTTTACAATCTTCTACAAATTTTGTTCAAATTGCATAATTATTTTCTAAATATATTTAGTAAACATCGTAAAAATAAAATACCTTTTCCATTAGAAGTTCACCAATATAACATAATATAAATATATTAAATGTTAAAGATATTAATAATATTATGTATGTTGTAAGACTAATGATGTCATTTAATTCCCAATCCTGTCATAATAAAAAATCTTGAATTTGTAGAAAGTCATGTGAAAAATGAAAAGAAAGAAGAAGTACCGTTATACAATAATATTCGAGTAAACAAATCAAAAAGATAGAACCAATAAATTCTAAAAAGCATACTTCTTGCAGTATCACTTGTACTGTCGCTGAAAATCTGTAATCGAAGAATGTACTACAATATATTACATTATGTAATCTCGTGTTTGAGTGATGAAAATTCTTTTATATTGATAATAATAAATTTGTTTTTGTACCTTAAAATTTGTAAGTGATGTTCAACAATTTTTATCAATCGTGCATTCAGATTAAATTTTCCTTTGTCATATTTGGCATGTAAAAGATCATTCAATCGAGCTATGATGATATCAATTTGTCCACAAGCATGTGTTACGAAAAGTGCGGCTAATCCACAAGCACCAGCAGTTATGGAATACATGATGTATCCACATGTGCAATGAAGAACATATATTAACTCATAAATGGGGCTTTTTTGAACATTAAATAGGCCGCTGTATGTGGGATAGACCAGTGGTTTGATTGTATGGTTATATTCATCGATAAACGTACCGATTTCATATTGTAAAATTGTGTGATAAATAGCGCCACCGGTATACATAAAAACAGCACAAATTATTGTTAAATTTCTACCCACTTGTCCATATTTTAACATCATTTCGCGATCTTCATATAATTCTACCTGTTACATCCAGTAGAGATGTGCCCATAACGAAACACTAAATGTTTTTTTTAACTTTAAGAAATAACATATTAACTAATTTAAAAATTATGATTATTAATTGTTAAGTTGCTTTTAATTTCTTATTTTTTTTATTCAATTTTCTTAAATAATTTACTAACCTGTTCCCAATCATTTTGTATCTGTTCGATACAATTCTTAATTTTTGGTTTGCGATAGGCGAGCGCCCAGTGCTTCATCAACGCAATCGAGCAGAATATCAATAAACCGCATAATTTTAATTTTATTACATTATTTTTCTCTTCAAGTATGATATACAGGATACATGGTATAATGGCGAAAAGTAGGACAAAATTAGTAATTCCAATTAAGATTTTCGGTAGAAATTTTGCAACATTCTTTAGAATTATTGGCCAAATACCGATAGATTTCAAAATCCACTTGCTATGTTTGGTTACATAAGCGATGTCTTCCTTATACTTTAGATTTCGCGCTCTATAATCACTCTCATTTAGTATAGTGAGATACATATTCGTAGACAGTTTGAAAACAACTGTTTATAAAAACTCAGTACATTGATTGCAAGGTCGTCGAGCGCAAGCTCAACGATGTTGCGTGTGTGCATCTTTTTCAGTACTTCGATAATCGATTATTAAGAGAGAACCGGACGTTTGAAATTGTAGGGAAGCTAACTGATGCTATAGAGTCTTTATGTTCAGACATAAGTGAAACGAATTGAAGCATAAGTGTACAGCGATTAAGAACTTATATGAAAATTACTAAGAAAGTAGTTAAGTTTGTATTATTATATATAATTTCGTATAAAATAATTAATATATATATAAATATAAAAGTGAATAATCATAATCAAATACTAGTAATAAAATAAGTTGTAATTACTAAGTTTCTTTTGATAAAAAATGATTATTTTGTAAACGACAATTTATAATCATTTTTTTTCTAAAAAAATTTAATTTATAATTCTTGTCTATTAATATGAAAAAGATATTTCTGAGTATTTTCTATTCGTGTAAAATACTTCAAAAATAAAAAATGTTACTACAATTTCTTTTTTTATTTACTATTCTATAACTATTCTTTATTTATAATAATGAAATAGTTATTACATAATGGTAGTTCGGATAAAATTTAAATATGCAAATGATGTTTTTAGAACCTATAAATAAAGTTAATTATGAACAAATGAAATTTGAATTATATTTCATTTAAAAAACTTACATTTCCAAAAGTGGACAAAGACAAATCAACTATTCCACCGGCATTTATTTTCGTTGGATTACTCGAAATGGCGATCATTAAGATGAGTCCCCGAATTGTTTTGGATGGTAAATAATAAAACAGGATAATCCAATACTGCTACTCTATAATACATGAAAATCAAAAAATATTAAATGTAAGTGAATTATTAATTTAATTATTTATATTTTTCTTTCCATAAATTAAATTTTATAGGAAAAAAATATAAAGTTTTACATTAGATAATTTAAACATTTTTTTTTCTTTCATTTTTTTATTGTATTTTTCCTTTATTTATTAATATTTAGTGGAAAATTTATGAAATGCTTCTACAAATTTTATCCGAATCGCATAATTACTTTTTAAATATATTTAGTAAACATCATAAAAATATACCTTTTCCATTAGAAGTTCACCAATATAACATAATATAAATATATTAAATATTAGAGATATTAATAATATTATATATGTTGTAAGACTAATGGTATTATTTAATTCCCAATCCTGTTATAATAAACAAATCTTGAATTTATAGAAACTCATATGAAAAGTGAAAAGAAACGCACCGTTATACAATAATATTCGAGCAGACATATCAAAAAGGTGGAGTCAATACATTCTAGAAAACATAATTCTTGCAATATCACCTGTACTGTTGCTGAAAATCTATAATCGGCATATATTATTAGGTACATATATATATTTATTTTTAATAATTGATAAAAATATTTTCACATTAATAAATTAATTATTGTACCTTAATATTCGCAAATGATGTTCAATAATTTTTGTAAATCGTGCGTTCAGATTAATTTTTTCTTTGATATATTTGCCATATATAAGATCATTTAATCGAGCTATAACGATATCAATTTGTCCACAAGCATGTGTTGCAAAAAGTGCGGTTAATCCACAAGCACCAGCAGTTACAGAATGCATGACATATCCACACATGCAATGAAGAATGTATACAAATTCATAAATGGGGCTTCTTTGTACATTAAATAGACCGTTGTACGTGGGATAAATCACTGGTTTGATAGTGCGATTATATTCATCAATAAATGTACCGATCTTATATTGTAAGATCGTGTGAAAGATAGTGCCACCGGTGTATGTGAACATAGCACAAATTATTATTAAATTTCTACCCATTTGTCCATATTTGAGCATCATTTTGCGATCCTCATATAATTCTACCTGTCACATCCAGTAGAGATGTGCCCTTAACGAAGCACTAAACATTTTTTACTTTAAGAAAGTATATATTGACTAATTTAAAAATTACACGACTATTAATTGTTAAGCTATTTCTAATTTTTATTTTTATCTTTCCTTGTTTAATTTTTTAAATTAATTTACTAACCTGTTTCCAATCAATCCATATTTGTTTGACGCAGTTCTTGATTCTTGATTTGCGATATAAAAGTGTCCAGTATTTTATCAAGGCAACTAAAGAGAAACTCAATAAACCGAATAATTTAAATCTTATCATAGTATCATTTTCTTCGATTACGATATACAGGATGCATGGTATAATGGCAAAAAATAGGACAAAGTTACATAATCCAAACACGATTTTTGGTAGAAATCTTGAGACATCCTTAAGAACTGATGGCCAAATGCCAATGGATTTCAAAATCCATTTACTATGTTTGGTTACATAAGCGATGTCTTCCTTGTATTTTAGATTTCGCGCTTTGCAATCATTCTCATTTAGCGTAATGAGATGCATGTTCGTTGACAGTTTGAATACAACTGTTTACAATAGCTCAATAACATTGATTGCAAGGTCGGCGAGCGCAAGCTCAACGAAGTTGCGTGTGTGCATCTTTTTCAGTACTTCGATAATCGATTATTAAGAGAGAACCGAACGTCTGAAATAAGGAAACTAACTGATGCTATAAAGTCTTTATGTTTAGACGTAAGTGAAACGGATTGAAATGATAACTGCACAATTAGAACTTATATTGAAAATTGCTAAGAAAGTAGTTAAATTTGTATTATTATACGTAAAACATTTTATTATATGTAAAAAAGTGAGTAATCATAATTCATAATTCATAATCAAATACTATATTAATAAAATAAGTTATAATTATTTTCTTTTTGATAAAAAATAATTATTTTGTAAACGACGATAATTTATAATCATTTTTTTTTTTTTAAATTTAAATCATAATTATTGTTTAAGATATGTAAAAGATATTTCTGAGTGTTGATTTTCTAGTGCAAAATATTTTAAAGATAAAAAATATTTTTATATTATTTTATATTTACTATTTTTTTATTTATTATTCTACAACTAATTATTAAAAACAATGAAATAAGTATTACACGATGGTAGTTCGAATGAAATTTAAATATGCAAATGATGTTTTTAAAACCTGTAATTAAGATTAATTAATAAAAAATGAAACTCGAATTATATAAATTTTATTTAAAAACTCACACTTCCAAAAGTGGATAAAGATAAATCAATTATTCCACCAGCGCTAATTTTCGCTGGATTATTCGACATGGCGATCATTAAGATGAGGCCTTGAATTGTCTTGATTGGTAATTGATACCAATCGATCATGCAACATACTATTCCAATATTAGTACTCTATAAACGAAATAATAAATAAAAAAAAATATTTATTAATGAATTTTGACATATTAAACATATTTACATTACAAAACTTATAAGAAAAATGTAACAAAAAGTACCTTTTCTATCAGAAGATTACCAATGTAACATAATAAAAATATATTAAATGTCAAAGATATGAATAATAATGAATATGTTGTTAGACCAATTGTATTATTTTGTTCCCAATCCTATTGAAAATATCATAAAAATATCATAAATTCATAGAAATTGAAGTGAGAAGCAACAAAAACGTACCGTAATGCAATAATATTCAAGTAAGCATATTACAAAAGTGGAACCAACGAATTCTAAAAAGCACACTTCTTGCAGTACTGTCTCAACCATTGCTGAAAATCTACAATAGCACACGATACGTTTTCATAAGCGATATGCAACAGATTTACATCACTTTTCTATTTGTACCTTAAAATTTTTATATGATGTTCGATAATTTCTATCAGTCGTATGTTCGGATTTGAATTTTCTTTCGAAAATTTTCCATCAACTAAATCCTCTAATTTGGCCATAACGATATCAATCTGTCCACAAATATGCGTTGCAAAAAGTGCAGCCAAGCCACATGCACCAACTGTTACAGCATCGAACATGTATCCACAGATACATTGGAGAATATAAACTAATTCATAAACTGGACTTTTTTGAACGTCGTAGAGACGACTATATGTAGGATATATCAGTAATTTAATCGTACGATTATATTCATCAATATATGATCCGAGTTTGTAATGCATAACTGTGTGATAAATTATACCACCGCTATACATGAAAACAATACTGTACATGCTCAAATTTCGGCCTATTATCCCGTATTTTAACATCAATTTTCGATCTCTTTCGAATTCTACCTGTCAGGCGATTTCAATTTTTTGTTAAAAAAAACTCTTTCACATAAATACCAATATTTGTAATAAAAGAAAAAAAGATAAAAAATATTTATTGTAACTGACCCGTTTCCAATCGTGTTGTATCTGTTCTATACAGTGTTTGATTTTTGGTTTGCGCATCGTTAAAACCCAATATTTCATCAATGAGATAAAAGAAAAGCAAGTTAAACCGAGGATTTTCAATCTTAGTATCGGATCCTTTTGTTCCAATAATATATGTAGAACACATTGAATCACGGTGAAGGATAATATTAAATTACTCAGTCCAATTGCAATTTTTGGTAAATATTCGTCGTTGCCTTTTAATACGGTTGGCCAAATACCAATGGAATTTAAAATCCATTTATTATGTTTGGTCACGTAAACGATGTCTTTTTCATAATTTAGATTTCGTGGTTGATTGGTTTGATCTCGAACGAAGAGGTGCATGTTCGTAGATAGTTCGGAAACGACTGTTTACAACAGTTTGATGGCATTGATTGCAAGATAGTCGATTCACATTTGTGCTATTGTGTGCGTGCATCTTTTCCAGTACTTCGAAATCGATTATTAACGTATCAGAGAATCGAACGTTTAAAATTATAGCTAACTGAAGTTACTATAGAATCTAACTTTGTATTCTAGCCATAAGTGGAAAGGAGGTGTAAGTGTATGATGATTAAAAAGTTCTTTAAGTAATATATATATTGCTCCAATAATGTGAATGATTTTTGAAATTATATAATGTGATTTGAATATATATATATGTGTGTGTGTGTGTGTGTGTGTGTGTGTATGTGTGTAATCAAGAATTAATAATTCAATAAGTTATATTACAATTTCTTTTTGTAATATAATATATTTTTTTGAACAAAAAAATTGTTTGAAAGAATAATTTTTTTTAATTTATTTATTTAAATTCATTAAATTTATTATTGTTTCTCAAACATAAAAAATATTTATAAGAGTTTGCTTTAATTTATTTCTCGATAGGTTACACCCAGAGATTATTCCACGCAGGCACACCCAACCTCTTTGGGGTTGGCTTTTAGAATCTATTGGTTAAGGCAAAATACATGCGCAGCTTGGTTTTATCATTGTAAGTAGACAAATATTTTATATTTACCTTAATATTTTTATATAGATATATATTTCATCTTTCAAATCGATTAGTATAATAGAATAGATTTCTTATGAAAAATAAATTGAAAATATAAAATAATAATTTTTCATCTGAAGCTTCGTTTTTAAAAAATTAAATTTTGAAAATTCTTTAAATATGCATTTCTACACTATTTGATTGCACTATATGTTAGTGTTTTAAAAATATTATAAACTTATATTATTAAAGAAATTTATATTACTAAACAATTTATATTACTAAAGAAATTATTAAAAATAGCGTTCAGTTTGTTCTAAACATTGTTCAAATCACAAAAGCATGGAAGAATAAATATTAAATAAATTTTCTGTTGTATTTGATTAAATAAATATATGATTTTTTCTTTCAGTTGTTTCCAGTTGCTATGATCTTTAGCATATATATGTTTTTTAAACATTCAAAGAATTTTCAAAATTCATTTTCTTGAAAATAAAATCTCAAATAAAAAATCATTATTCTATATTTTATTTTCGATTTATTTTTCATAAAGAATTCACTTATGCTTAATTGTGTTATCCGACTTGAAATATTCTGTATATAATTATATTTTATAAAAATTTAAGCAACTATCATTATAGCATATTTCTTTATTTACTATTCAATATTTTATGATCGAAAACAATAAAACATTTATAATTATTACATAACAGCAGTCTGAAGAAAGTTTAAATATACGAATGTCGTTTTTAAAACCTGCGAAATTTAATTACTGATATATAAAGTTTTAATTGTATACTTTTCATTTATGTCACCACCATATTCTTATAATTAATATATCAATATAAACGTACATTTCCAAAAGTAGATAAGGATAAATCAAGTATTCTACCGACACTAAGTTTCGCGGGAGTATTCGACATGGCCATGATCAAGATAAGATTTTGAATCGTTTTCGTTGGTAAATGATACCAGTCAATCATGAACACGGCTACTCCGACGTTACCACTCTGTGATGTAAGTAATAAATTTAATAATGAGTTTTCATATATTTTGATATATATAATTTTTTGTTATAAAAGAAAAATGTAAATATTTTTTGCAAGTGGTTAAATCTCAAATTTTGAAACAGGTGAGTGAACTGAATGTTTGAAATCAGTGAAAAGAAGTAAATGATAATTTAAAATTATTTCTAGAGATGATCAAATGTGTTTTGACAATTTAATTTGTCTAGACTGTGTAGAGAAAAAAATTGTATTGTAAAGAAAAAAGAAATGTGGTTGTTGAAATACTTTCTTACCAAAGATGACTCAGTGAACATTTTTATAATTATAGAAATATATAATAGAAATATATATAAATATAGCATATAGTACCTTTTCTATTAGAAGATCACCAATGTAGCATAATAAAAACATATTAAATGTCATTGATATTAGTAGTAATATATATGATGTCAGACTAATTATATTTTTTTGTTCCCAATCCTGGTGTAAACGTAAAAATATCATATAAAAAATATGAAAATTCATAAAAAAGAAACATACCGTAATGCAATAATATTCAAGTAAACATATTACAAAAGTGGAACTAACAAATTCCAAAAAGAACACTTCTTGTAGAACTGTTTCAACCACAGCTGAAAATCTACAATAACATATAATAAGTTTTCACAAGCAATAAATAATGACTTACATCTTCTTCATATTTTTACTTTAAAATTCTTATATGATGTTTAATAATTGCCATCAGTCGTATATTCGCATTTGAATTTTTTTTGTACTGTTCAGCAACTATGTCATCCAATCGAGACATAATAACATCAATTTGTCCACATGCATGGGTTACGAAAAGAGCGGCCAAACCACAAGCACCAGATGCTATAGTGTCGAAGACATATTCGCATATACATTGAATACCATATATAATTTCATAAGTAGGACTTTTTTGAATATTGTAACCGCCATATGCAGGATAAATCAACATTTTAATTGTTTGATTATGTTCATTAATCTGCGATCCCATCGCATATTGCATAATAGAAATATATATAATACCACTAAGGTACATGAACAAAATACTATAGATGGTCAAATTTCGGCCAATTATTCCATATTTTAACATTAATTCGCGATCATTTTCTATCTCTACCTGTCAAAGAGTAGATTTTATTTAAACAATGTTTTCATTTATAAGTATATAAATATTAGAGATATTGTTGTATATTAAAATATTAAAATATTAAAATATATGTAAAATATTCATCTGAAATTTAAGAATATAAAATTATAATATTTATATATGAATAGACATACAATATATGCAGATAAAAATTTAAAAATATAAAATACATACAAAATACACGTTTGTATATGAGAAATATACATATATTTGATATACATATATCAAAAAATATTAAAAACTGCATAACCAAAATAATAGTATTTTTTTTCTGACATCGCACAATGATGCTCGTCTTGTCTGTAATGTTATTAATATCTCCATATAGTTTCTATTAACAAGTCGAAGCATTCATGGCGCAATGGATACTTAAATTTTTTGATTTGCATTCTTCGTTTAACGTATGGACAAAAATATAAGCTGTTAGAAATTACAAAAATATTAAGAAAGCTAGGAAAAATTGAAAAAAACTTCTTGAAAGGAAAAAATATATATATATGTCATGTAAAAACATATATGATGAAAATGTGATGATGATGAATATATATATGATGAAAATATATATGAATCATATATACCATATATAATAATATAAAAATATAAATATATAGACATAAAATATGTTATGACATATAAAAATGATGTACATAAATATTATCTTATAATAGAAATATAGATATGTATCAAAAATTATATGGATTGAAGTTCAATTTCATTTACTACACGTGTACAGTATTTAGATAATTTAAAGTAGAATATATGCATTAATTAACCTGTTTCCAATCTGATTGCACTTGTTCGATACAGTATTCAATTTCCGGTTTGCGTAGTGTTAAAGCCCAATATTTCATCAATGACATGAAGGAGAAAAAAATTAAACCAAGAAATTTCAATCTTAATAATGTATCCTTTTGCTCCAATATGATGTGTAATGCACTTTGAATCAGGGTGAAAAAACACAGTAAATTATTGAATCCAATCACGATTTTCGGTAAAATTTTACCGATATTTTTTAACACTGTTGGCCAAATGCCAATAGAAGCAAGAACCCATTTGTTATGTTTTGTCACATAAGCTATATCTTTCTTGTAATTAGGATTTCGCGGTTCGTTGATCGGATCTCGAACAGAGACGTGCATGTTGTTGAACAGTTGGAAAACGACTGTTTGTAATAGTCTGGTGATGGTTGTTGTTGAGCTTGCGCTCATAATATCGCATGCGTGCTTCTGTGTTACTACAATTGTAAATCGATCGATACTTATTAAAAGAAGTAAATGTTTGTATTGTAATTATAGTAGAGGCTATCAGTTCATTTCAAAATTTCACATTCGAAGATGGTGGAGAAAAGAATGGATTGAAAACTGATGTTATGTATAAGTGATCAATTGGATTCTGAAATAATGTGTGATATATTCATTTGTGGTAAAAAAAATATTTGTAAAATGTATGTAAATTTAATATGAAATATTTACATTTTTTATGTGATTCAAAAGTATGTTCGAAGCAAATTTAAATATATTATTAATGGTTTTGCTATCTAAAAATAATTTTTTATGTGATTCTATCTTTTAATGTTGTAAAAATTAGTAAAATAATTAATTCTTATATTTGCATATTTTTTTAATTATCTCATAAAGAGATAGATTATAAAATATAAAATAAAATATAAATATGTTAAATATGAAGATCAACAAAGGATGTAATTTTATCTTGTTTTTCGATTAATTCTAAAAGATAGAATAAATACTATTTTTATAATCAATCTTTAAATATAATTTCATTGCTTACCATTAAATAATAATGTTCGAGCATATGCATATTAAACGTGCCATCCATAATTTCTATAAAACATATCTCTTGTAAAATTTCTTCGATATTGTTAAAAAATCTACAGTTTCCATGCATTTTTTCTCTTAAAATCCTTTCTCACATTCTAATTTTAACGCTCCAATACTTCATCGATGTAATCGAACAGAAAGTCAATAACCTGCATAATTTTAATTTTATCACATTATTTTTTTTTGAAATATGATATATATAATAATTTTCAGGATGCATAATAAAATAGCAAAAAATAAGATAAATTATTAATTTCAATTACGATTTTCAGTAGAAATTTTGCGATATTTTTTAGAATTGTTAACCAAATGTTGATGAATTTCAAAATCCATTTGTTATGTTTGATTACATAAGCGATGTTTATCTTGTAGACTTCACATTTTGTAATCACGCTTATTTAGTATAATAATATGTTTTTTTGAAAAACAACTATTTACAATAGCTCAATAGTATTGATTGCAAGTTCATTCAGAATAAATTCGATAATATTACGTGCATCTTTTTTAGTATTTCGATGATCGATTATATTATCGAATTATATTTTTTATTAAGAGAGAATCGAATATCTGAAATTATAGGGAAGCTAACTGATAATATTATAATATATTTTATATTTACATGTAAGTGAAAATTGATGATTAAGAAGTTGTAAGAAAATTATAAGAATAATAATAAAGCCATTTGTATTTTTATGTTTGATATCATATAAAATAATATTAATATTTACATAAATGCAAGAATAAGTAATCATTAAAAAAATAAGTTGTAGTTATTTTCTTATTGTTTCTTAAATTTAAAAAATATGTGAAAGCTTGCTTTATTTTATTTTTCAATAGGCTATTTCACGTAGGCATAGCCAATTCTATCTAATAACTTGAAGAATTTATTGATTAAGATAAAATATATATATATATATATATATCTTATATATATATCTTAGCATTATTATTATTATATATAAATAGACAAATATCTTATATCTATTTCAATATTTTCGTGTACATATTATACACATATAATATATAATTATATTTCATAAAAATTTAAGCAATTACATAGCAGTAAATATCTTTACAACATATTTCTTTATTTACTATTTAATATTTTATGATTGAAAACAATTATAAAAACATTTATATAAGATTATTGCATAACAGCAGTCTGAAGGAAGTTTAAGTACACAAATGTCGTCTTTAAAACCTGCGAAATGTAATTGCTGACAAATAGAGTTCTAATTGTATAATTTTCATTTATGTTATCACCATATTCTTGTAATTAATGTATCAATATAAACGTACATTTCCAAAAGTAGACAAAGATAAATCAACTATCCTACCGACAGTAAGTTTTGCCGGATTATTCGACATAGCCATGATCAAAATAAGATTTTGAATCGTTTTTGTTGGTAAGTGAAACCAGTCAATCATGAACACGGCTACTCCGATGTTGCTACTCTGTGATGCAAGTAACAAATTTATTAATGAGTTTTCATATATATTGATATACACAATTTTTTGTTAAAGAAGAAAAACGTGAACATTTCTTGCAATTAATTAAATTTCAAATTTTTGAAATATATGAGTGAATTGAGTGTTTAAAGCCAATGAAAGACTAAATGATGATAAAAATAAATAAATTTAATATTATGTCTAGAAGTGATTGAATGTGCTTTAATAATTTTTGCATAATTTAGATTATGCGAAAAATTTATAATGTAAAGAAAAAAAGAAATGTTTGATTACTGACATATACTTTTTTATAAATGGTTCAGTGAACATTCTTACAATATATATATAGGAATATAAATATACCATATAGTACCTTTTGTATTAGAAGATCACCAATATAGCATAATAAGAACATATTAAACGTCAATGATATTAATAGTAATACATATGATGTCAGACTAATTATATTTTTTTGTTCCCAATCCTGGTGTAAATGTAAAAATATGATATACTTATAGAAACCAAAATAGAAAAAAACAAAAACGTACCGCAATGCAATAATATTCAAGCAAACATATTACAAAAGTAGAACCAATGAATTCCAAAAAGAATACTTCTTGCAAAATTGTTTCAACTACTGCTGAAAATCTATAATAGCATATGATAAGTTTTCATAAGCAACAAGTAATGATTTATATCTTTATATTTTTACTTTAAAATTCTTATATGATGTTTAATAATTGCCATCAGTCGTATATTCGGATTTAAAGTTTTGTTGTAGAATTGTCCAGCAACTATATCATCCAATCGAGACGTAATAATATCGATTTGTCCACAGGCATGGGTTACGAAAAGTGCTGCCAAACCGCAAGCACCAGATGTTACAGTGTCGACGACATATCCGCACATAAATTGAACACCATATATTATTTCATAAACTGGACTTTTTTGAATATTATAACCATATGTAGGATAAATCAACACTTTAATCGTTTGATTATGTTCATTAATCTGCGATCCCATTGCATACTGTGTAATAGACATATAAGTAATACTACCGATGTACATGAACAAAATACTATAAATGGTCAAATTTCGGCCGAGTATTCCATATTTTAACATAAGTTCGCGATCATTTTCCATCTCTACCTGTGAAATTTATTAAAAAAAGATTTTTCATTTATAAATAACTTCTGTATAAATATAAAAAATCATGATTCTAAACGTGTAATAAAATACACATGTACATAAGAAATTTAAAAGTATATATAAAATATACATTTGAAATTTAAGAATATAAAAATATATAAATTTTTATTATGATATCTATATATAAATATATAGATATCATAATATATAATATATATAGATATAAAGTGATATATAAAAATTTAAAAATATAAAATATAAGACGTACACGTGTTGGTACACAAAAAAATATACAACAAAATAAAAATATGAATTATGCGAGTATTTGACATAGAAAATATCAGAAGTTGCATAATTAAAGTTAATAGCATCTTTTTTGTCCTCACGCAATGTTATTCTTCTTGTTTGTGACATCAAGAATATTTCCATGTGCATTTTATGTTTTTAATAAGTCCAACCTTCCAGCCTTCATTCGTAAGATGATGTAATGGATATAAATTTTTCTTGTTTTGTTTTCTTTGTTTAATTTTTGGATAAAGTGTAGTCTGTTGGAAGAAACTCGCAAGAATATTAAGAAAGCTAGGAAAAAAGAATTTCTTGAAATGAAAAAAGGAAAATAAAAAATATAAAAATAAAAAATGCATACATGACATGTAAAAATATGAAAATACATAGAAATCATATATTCAATATATAAAAATATGTCTATATATATATAAAATATATTATGAAATATAAAAATAATATTTGTATGTATATATAACACGCTTGAAATAAAAATAGCAATATTACAAAATATGTGGATTGAAATTCAATTTCATTCACTACATGTGTACAGATGTATTTAAATACACATGAAGTAGAAATATTTAATAAATGTATGTTTTAATTAACCTGTTTCCAATCTGATTGCACCTGTTCGATGCAATATTTGATTTCCGGTTTGTGTATCGTTAGAGCCCAATATTTCATCAATGATATGAAAGAGAAAAAAATTAAACCGAGAATCTTCAATCTTAGCAATATATCTTTCTCCTCATATATAATATGCAATGCACTTTGGATTAGGATAAAAGAACACAATGAATTATTGATCCCAATCACTATTTTCGGTAAAATTTTATTTATATTTTTTAGTACTATCGGCCAAATGCCAATACAAGTAAGAACCCATTTGTTATATTTCGTCACGTACGCTATATCTTTCTCGTAATTAGGATTTCGCGGTTCATTGATCGGATTTCGAATGGAGAAGCACATGTTGCTGGATAGTAGAAAACCGACTGTTGTGGTAGTCTGGTGAGTTGTGGTAGTCAGTTGCTGTTGAGCTTGCGCTCGTAATGTCGCGTGCGTACTTTTGTGTTATTACAATTGTAAATCGATCAATACTTATTAAAAGAAGTAAATAAAAGTAAAAGACTGTAATTATAGTAGAGGCTATCAGTTCTATAAAATTTTACGAAGATAGTGAAAAGATTGAAAACTGATGTTATGTATAAGTGATCGATTAGATTCTGAAATAATATGTGATGTATTCATTTATCATAAGAAAGTACATGTAAAATGTGTTTATATTATGAAATATTTATATCTTTTATATGTTTCAAAAATAATCTAAAAATTGTTGAAAATTTGTGAAATAATTAATTTCTACGCTTGCATATTTTCTTCATCTCATATTAAAATAGATTAATCTTTTGAAATAATAATTAATGAAAAGAAAATATTAAAAATTTAATTTCAACTTTTAATAAAAATATTTAAAAATTATATTCACTATTTTTCTAAAATCTAATAAACTATTGAAATTTAAATCATACATTTTATAATTAATACAAATATTTAATAATTGATATTTGATAAAAAATATTTGTGAAAATAAAATATAAAAATATAATGATATAATAAAAACTTTGATAATAATTAATAGCAAAAAAAATAAAAAAAAATAAATTTCATTACCGTTTGCAACTGTTCAAACTAAATTTAAATATATTAATGATTTTGCTATTTAAAAATGTAACATTTTGGATTAAATATGTTTTTAAAAAAGTTTAAAAAATCATAACAGAGGTAACTGTATTAAAAAATAATTCGATTATTTTTCTCGTCATTAATTTTTGTGAATATTGTGATATAAATATTAGTAAAATAAAATTGTAAACTTCTTTAAGTGATATTTTATACCAACCGATTTTACAGAAAACTATATCCCATTATTTCATACGGATCCCTTTGAAATGACTTTTAGAATCTATTATTGGTTAAGGTAAAATATAGCTTGATTTCATTATTATAAATAGACATATACACACACACACACACACACACACACACACACACAAAATTATTTTTCACAAAAATTTAGGCAATTATATAGTAAATATATATATTTATAACATATTTCTTTATTAATTATTTAATATTTTATAGTTGAAAACAATTATAAAAACATTTTTAAGATTATTGCATAACAGCAGTCTGAAGAAAATTTAAATATACGAATGTTGTTTTTAAAACCTGCGAAATGTAATTGCTGACAAACAGAGTTCTAATTGTATAATATTCATTTATATCACCATCACATTCATATAATTAATGTATCAGTATAAACGTACATTTCCAAAAGTAGACAAAGATAAATCAACTACCAACACTAAGTTTCGCCGGACTATTCGACATTGCCATGATCAAAATAAGATTTTGAATCGTTTTAGTTGGTAAATGATACCAGTCAATCATGAACACGGCTATTCCGACGTTAGCACTCTGTGATGCAAGTAACATATTTATTAATATATTTTTATATACATTGATATACAAAATTTTTTGTTTTAGAAGAAAAACGTGAATATTTCTTGCAATTAATTAAATTTTAAATTTTTAAAATATATGAGTGAATCGAGTATTTAAAGCTAATGAAAAAGAAATAAATGATAATTTAAGATTGTGAATTCTAGAAGTGAGCTTTAATAATTTTTGCATAATTTATCTAGATTGTGAGATTGTGTAGAAAAAAAAATTATATTGTAAAGAAAAAAGAAATGTGGTTGTTAAAATATTTTCTTACCAAAGATGGCTCAGTGAACATTCTTACAATTATAAAAATAAAAAGTACCTTTTGTATTAGAAGATCACCAATATAGCATAATAAGAACATATTAAATGTCAATGATATTAATAGTAATGCATACGATGTCAGACTAATTATATTATTTTGCTCCCAATCCTGTATAAATATAAAAATATGATATGATATGAAATCAAAATAGAAAAAAACAAAAACGTACCGTAATGCAATAATATTCAAGCAAGCATATTACAAAAGTGGAACTAATAAATTCTAAAAAGAACACTTCTTGCAGTACTTTTTCAACCACAGCTGAAAATCTACAATAATATATGATAAGTTTTCATGAACGATAAATAATGACTTACATCACTTTTATATTTTTACTTTAAAATTTTTATGTGATGTTTAATAATTTCTATCAGTCGTATGTTTGGATTTGAATTTTTCTTGTAAAATTGTCCAGCAACTATGTCATCCAATCGAGATATAATGACGTCGATTTGTCCACAGGCATGGGTTACGAAAAGTGCGGCCAAGCCACAAGCACCAGATGTTACACTATCGAGAACATATCCACAAATACATTGAATACCATATATTATTTCATAAATAGGACTTTTTTGAATACTGTTACTATATGCAGGATAAATCAACACTTTATTCGTTTGATTATCATCATTAATCTGCAATCTCATCGCATACTGCATAATAGAAATGTACATAATACCACTGATGTACATGAATAAAATACTATAAATGGTCAAATTTCGACCAACTATACCGTATTTTAACATAAGTTCGCGATCATTTTCCATATTTACCTGTTAGATGGTAAATTTTATTAAAAAAAAGTTTTTATTTATAGATAACTCACATATGAATATTAGGCATCATATATAAATAATAATAATAATTCTATTAAATGTCAAAAATATTATAATAATATAACGTGTTGTAAACGTGTATTAAAATACGCCTATACACGGAATATATAAAAATATATGTAAAACATATATTTCATGAAATTTAAGAATATAATAAATATAGTATATAAAATATATTATGACATAAAAAAATAATGTTTATTATTAATATATATAACACAATTATAATAAAAATACAGATATTTATATTAACTATATGTTAATTATGTGGAAGTTCAATTTTATTTACTATCCGTGTATTGATATATTTAAATACACGTGAAATAAAAATCTTTAATAAATATATGTTTTAATTAACTTGTTTCCAATCTAATTGCACTTGTTCGATGCAATGTTCAATTTCCGGTTTGCGTATTGTTAGAGCCCAATATTTCATCAATGACATAAAAGAGAAAAAAATTAAACCAAAAAACTTCAGTCTTAGCAATGTATCCTCCTGCTCTAATATGATATGCAATGCACTTTGAATCAGGATGAAGAAACACATTAAATTATTAATTCCAATCACGATTTTTGGTAAAATTTTACCGATATCTTTTAATACTGTTGGCCAAATTCCAATAGAAATCAGAACCCATTTGTTATGTTTCGTCACATAAGTTATATCTTTTTCATAATTAGGATTTCGCGGTTTATTGATTAAATTTCGAACAGAGAAGTGCATGTTGCTAGACAGTAAGAAAGCGACTGTTTGTGATTGTCTGGTGACAGTTGCTGTTGAGCTTATGCTCGCTAATATGCGTGCGTGCTTCTGTTACTACAATTGTCGATCGATACTTATTAAAAGAAGTAAATAGAAATAAAAGACTGTAATTATAGTGGAGGCTATGAGTTCGTTTTATATAATATATACTGTTTTATAAAATTTTATGTTCAAAAATGGTGAAAAGGATAGATTGAAAACTAATATTATACATTAGTAATCGATTAAATTTTGAAATGATAAGTGATATATTAATTTGTGATAAAAAAATATTTAAAATGTGTGTATGTAGATTTAATATATATATATGAAATATTTATTTTTATGTGATTCAAAAATATTTTTTAATGCTGTAAAAATTTGTGAAATAATTAATTTCTACGCTTACATATTTTCTTCATCTCATAAAAAAATAGATTAATCTTTTTTTGAAATAATAATTAATGAAAAGAAAATATTAAAAATTTAATTTCAACTCTTAAGAGAAATATTTAGAAATTATATATTCAGTGTTTTTCTAACATTTAATAAACTATGGAATTTAAATTATATATATTATAATTAATACAAATACCTAGTACTTGATTCTTCATTAAAAAATATCTGTGAAAATAAAATATAAAAATATAATGATATAATCCTGTGATAATAATTATAAAAAATAAATTTCATTACCAGTCTGTAACTGTTCGAAGCAAATTCAAATAAACTACTGATGTTTTTGCTACCTAAAAACGATTCAGTATAAAATTTCAATTTAAAAATGTTTTTAAAAATGTTTGAAAAATCAAAACTTACAGAGCTAAATGTATTCAAAGACAATTCGATTATTTTTCCTGCTGTTAATTTTGGTGGATATTGCGATATGGAGATTAATAAAATAAGATCATAAGCTTCCTTAGATGATAATTTATACCAATCGATTTCATAGGAAACTGTACCAATTTGACTACACTAATAATGATTATTGACTTTTTTTTTTTAATAAAATATAAAATATTAAAATAAAGGAAATATTTATAATTACCTGCTCAGTCAGAATTTCACCTATATAGCAGAATATAAATATGTTAAATGTGAAAGAAGTCAATAAAGTAAAAAAAGTTAAAAGTGTAATTGTATCACCTGCTGACCATTCCTGAAAAATAGAGTAAAATTTTTATAATTAGACTTTTTTAATTTTAATATAATTTCATTTAATTACTTACAATTAAACAATAATATTCGAGCATACACATATTTAATGTGCATTCTACGATTTCCGTAAAACATATCTCTCTTAAAGCTTCTTCTATATTATTCGAAAATCTATAATTTTTACACATTCCTTAAAATTCTTTGTCACATTCTAATTTTAAATATTATTCGTTTATTCAAAAACATATTCGATTCTTACCTTAAAATTTCCACATGATCGTGCACGATAAGAACAAAAGGATCACAATTTTCATATTTCCTCTTTTCCTTGTTTTCGACCAAATCTTGTAATCTTGCTATTTGTACCTGAATCTGTCCACAAATATGTGTAACAAAGATTGCTGCCAAACTATATGCAACCGTTGAAATACTATACATGATCATCGCTGTAAAGCAATGTATACAATATACAATTTCATATGTAGGACTAGACTGTGTATCGAAAAATGGATCGTAGCCAATGTAAGGTAATGGTCTGATCGTGTGATTATCCTTATTCTTTCCTTTCGATAAAAATTGCATTACAGTATGATACGACATTCCTCCTGAATATAAAAAAACAGCACATATGGTAATAAGTCTTCTACTAATCGTCGCATATTTTAACATAATCGTTCGATGATTTGGATCCTGCACCATCATCCAATCTCTTTTCATATGTTCAATACATCTTTCAAATGAGGATCCTTTTAAGGCAAGGTAGCAATATTTAATTGTGGATGATATACAGAAACTAACTGGTCCAAGAGCTTTCACTTTCATATTCAAATTTTTCTCTATAAAAAAATAATGATGACCAGATGGTAAGATGATAAATAACAGACTGGAGAAGCACATAGTCATTAGAATGATCGAAACGAGCTGTTCGAATTTCTTAGTTTGATTGGAAATGAGAGGCCACACTCCGATTAGTTTCAATAACCATTGACACATTTGTAATGTGTAATGTATATCACTCTTATAATAATTATTTTTTAACTGACTTTCAATATTGTGGAGTGATCGATCATGCATAGTGACAGTTGAAGTGTTTACTGTCGACTGATCGGCAGGTTAAAAACTTTCTTCGCGATATTGTTAGGACGCAAGCGCATGTTTCTGTTTTTATGAATGTATATGAACTTTCGCGTGCATATTCACGAATAATATAGGATGACATCTATCAATAACCATTATCGTTTTTTTTTTTATCATTTATAAGTTCTATGTTCATTGATGAGATTGTATTATGTGTAAGAACGATTATGTGGAAGAAAGATTGAAACTATATTATTTGATTGGATTTATGTTTAAAAAATATTTAAATAAAGTAATAATTGTTTTTAAAAAATAATTAATAATATATACTTGATATTGTGTTGCTCCTTAAATTTATTTTAATTGTTATTTATATATTGTGCAAATAATTATTATTTTGTAATAAAAAAATATATTATATTGCACTATTTTTTAGTAAATTTTGTATAAATAATTTTCATATGTTTAATTATTAATGAAAACACGATGAAAATATTACAAAATAATAGTGCAGAATAAGTATATTTAAATAGTAAATGAATTTTAAAATGCATTTGTAATAAATAGCTTATATTGATATAAGCTATTTTTTTAATTATTTCAAAAGTAAATTTTGAATGTTGGAAAATTAAAGAAAAGTTTAAATTCAGATCCAATTTTACTTGAAAAAGAATATAGAAGAATATCTGTAAAAATATTTTTTTAATAATAAAATAATGTTTTTGATGATAGTAAAAAGTAAAAATTATAAGTTTTATTACCAGTTTGTGACTGTTCGAAGCAAATTCAAATAAACTACTGACGTTTTTGCTACCTAAAAACAATTCCATAAAATATTTTATTACTTATTTCTAAAAATGTTTGAAGAAGAGAAACTTACAGTACTAAATGTGTTCAAAGACAATTCGATTATTTTTCCCGCTGTTAATTTTGGTGGATGCTGTGATATGGAGATTAGTAAAATAAGATTATAAGCTTCCTTAGGTGATAATTTAAACCAATCGATTTCATAGGAAGCTGTACCAATTTGACTACACTAATAATAATTATTGATTTTGCTTAATAAAATAGAAAATATTAAAATAAACGAAATTCTTATAATTACCTGCTCGGTCAGAATTTCACCTATATAGCAGAATATAAATATATTAAATGTGAAAGAAATCAATAAGGTAAAAAAAGTTAAAAGCGTAATTGTATCGCCTATTGACCATTCCTAAAATAATAAATTTATAATTAATCTTTAACTTATATATAATTTAATTTTATTGCTTACCATTATGCAATAATATTCAAGCATACACATATCTATCGTACACTCTATAATTTCTGTAAAGCATATCTCTCGTAAAGCTTCTTCTATATTATTTGAAAATCTATAATTTTCACATATTTGCTTTTTTAAAGTTCCTTTTCGTATGTATTTTAATTTTTAAGGATTTTTATCATATGTGTTTATTTAAATTAATAATATTTGATTCTTACCTTAATACTTCTACATGGTCGTGCACAATAAGAGCAAAAGGATCACAATCTTCATATTTCCTCTTTTTCTTGTTCTCGACCAAATCTTGTAATCTTGCTATTTGTACCTGAATTTGTCCGCATATATGTGTAACAAAGATCGTTGCTAAACTGTATGCAACCGTTGAAACACTATACATGATCATTGCTGTGAAGCAATGTATACAATACACAATTTCATATGTAGGACTAGACTGTGTATCAAAAAATGGATCGTAACCAATATAAGGTAATGGTCTGATTGTATAATTGTCCTTATTCCTTCCTTTCGATAAAAATTGCATTATTGTATGATATGACATTCCTCCTGTATATAAAAAGACGGCACACATGGTGATAAGTTTTCTGCTAATCGTTGCATATTTTAGCATGATCGTTCGATGATTTGAATCTTGCACCATCATCCAATCTCTTTTCATATGTTCGATGCATCTTTCAAACGAGGATCCTTTTAGGCCAAGGTAGCAATATTTAATTGTGGATGATAAACAAAATCCAGCTGGGCCGAATGCTTTCACTTTCATATGCAAATTTTTCTCTACGAAAAGGATATGATGACCGGATGGTAAAATGATGAATAATAGGCTAGAGAAGCACATGCCTATTAGAATAATAGAAATCAATTGCTCGAATTTGCTGGTTCGATTGTAAATGAGAGGCCACACTCCAATCGGTTTCAACAACCATTGACACATTTGTAATGTGTAATGTATATCACTTTTGTAATGATTATTTTTCAACTGACCGTTAATATTGTCGTGTGATCGATCATGCATACTGACAGCTGAAGTGCTTACTGTCGACTGATCAGCAAACTAGAAACTTTCTATCTGATATTGAACGCAAGCGCATTTCTGCGTTTTTATGAATGTATACTATAAACTTCATAATGTGCATGCATTTCGCGAATAGTTTAATCAATATCATCTTTTTTTATCATTTACAGGTTTCCACATTCATTGAAGAGATTCTGTATGTGAGGGAAGATCTTATCATGTAGTTGGATTCATTTTTCAATATTTTATTGTAAGTGTTTCTATTCTATATATTTCTCTAATAATAATTTTATATTATGTTATATATAACGTACTATTAATATTTTTTTAAAAAATATTTAAAGTATACATACTTGATATTATGTTATTCTTCAAATGTTTTAATATATTGTTATTGTTTTAATATATTTTATGCAATTAATTAATATCTTATTATAAAAATATAGTAGTAATTTATAAAATTATAATTTAATTTAAAATTACATTGTATTGTTTTTTAATAAGTAAATTTTATATAAATAAATTTTAATTAAATGTTTAATTATTTATAAAATTTTATCTATAAAATTATTTATATATATTGAGAAAAATATATCACAAAAAATAATAAAAGTTTGCGATATAAGTTTCAAAATAATAAATCTAATATAGATAATGTAATAGATAAATAAGTTTATATATATATATATATTTTTTTTGTGATATATTTTTTGATTTATTTTATATATATATATATATATATATAAACTTATTTATATATATATATAATAATATATAATAATTCTATGTATGTATACGATATATTTGATATTAAAACTGCTATTATTCCAAATTTAAACTAAAATATCGAAATACAATAGATAATTAAATAAAATTCAAAATCAATTTTAGTTAAAAAAGGATATTTGCATACATATTTTTTGAAATATACAATACAATACTATATTTTTATGATGACAATAATAAAAAGTATAATTTTAATATATTTTATTATATTAATTTTAATAATTCTGTTATTAATCCGTAACTGTTCGAAGTAAATTCAAATAAATTACCGATGTTTTTACTACCTAAAAATTGTTAAATGTAAAATTTTAGTTTTATACTTCAGAAAATATTGAAATTGTTAAAAAAAAAATAAAAACTTACAGAGCTAAATGTGTTGAAAGATAAATCAATTATTTTTCCAGCTGTAAGTTTTGGAGGATATTGCGATATGGAAATCAGTAGAATAAGATCATGAGCTTTTTTAGCAGGTAATTTGTACCAATTAATTTCATAAGAAATTGTACCAATTTGGCTACACTAATAAGAATCATTAAAAATACTTTTTATCACATAAAATACGTAAGTAAAATACTTTTGTAATTACCTGTTCAGAAAGAATTTCGCCTATATAGCAAAATATAAATATGTTAAATGTAAAAGAAATCAACAAAGTAAAATAGGTTAATATTGCAATTGCATCGTTATTTTGCCATTCCTAAAAGATATACTTAAATAATATTTTTTTTCTAATTAAATAAATAATAGTTCTTAAGTATATATTGAGTTTATTGCTTACTGTCATACAATAATATTCAAGCAAACACATAATTATTGTAGATTCAATAATTTCTGCCAAACATATCTCACGTAAAGCTTCTTCTACATTTTTCGAAAATCTAAAATTTCCACGTATTGGCTTTTATAACGATCTATATTGTAAAGCATATAAAATTCTTATCACATTTGTCTATGAGCAACTTTTATTTGATATTTCTTACCTTAAAATTTCTACATGATCATGAACAATAAGAGCAAAAGGATCACAGTCATTCTTTCTGTTCTTGTTTTCTACTAAATTCTGTAATCTTGTTGTTTGTATTTGAATTTGTCCACAGATATGAGTGACAAAAATCGCCGCTAAACTATATGCAACCGTTGTGACGCTATACATGATCATGGCGGCGAAACAATGCATGCAGAATACGATTTCGTATGTAGGACTAGATTGAGTATCGAAAAATGGATCATAGCCTAAATAAGTCAATGGTTTAAATGTGTAATTATTATTAACTTTCTCTTTTGACAAAAATTGCATTACAGTATGATATGACATTCCACCAGTATATAAAAAAACGGCACACATAATTATGAGTTTTCTGCTGATAGTAGCATATTTTAACATGATTATTCGATAACTTGGATCTTGTACCATTTTCCAATCTTTTTCAACATGTTTGATACATTGTTCAAAAAATACACCTTTCACACCAAGATAACAATATTTAATTGTGGATGATAAACAGAATCCAACTGGACCGAGCAATTTTACTTTGAGGTGCATATCTTTTTCTACGAAGAAAATATGATGACCGGATGGTAGGATGATGAATAACAAACTGGAGAAGCACGTAGCCATTAGAACAATGGAAATAAGCTGCTCAAGTCTGCTAGTTCGATCGTAAACGAAAGGCCACACTCCGATAGGTTTCAATAACCATTGACACATCTGTAAAGTGTAATGTATGTCGTTCTCGTAATGAATATTTTTTAACTGACTATTATTGTATGACCGATTAAGCATAGTGACAGTTCCAGTGCTCACTGTCGACTGGTCGACAACGTAGAAACTTTCAACACGATATTGTTAGAACGCAAGCGCGTATTGTTTCTATGAATGTATAGTATGAACTTCAGCACGTGCATGCTTAATGTAAGGGGACAATATTCGATTACTAATGAGTGTTTATCTTTTTATTTGGTTCTATATTGTTGAAGGGAAGATGGATTTAGAATAAAGGCGTAATGCGGAGAAATAAATTCATGCAGCGATATAAGATCAAGACTATTTTTTTTCTAATTTATATAATAAGATATAAAAAAACAAAAAAAAATTATTTATTTAAATTTATTTAAGTAATATTTAAGAGATTTCTTTATTTAATCTTCTAATATTTAAACTCTGTTTAAAATCGGTATTTATGTTAATAGATTTATATTTTATAATATTAAAATAATTATAATTGTTTCAACAATTTTCAGATCAAGTCCAGAATATTGAATTATATCAAGATACAATATTTCATTTTTAACATTTTGGGAATAATGATCACAGTTCAGTGATCGTTCGCAACATGTTCATGTAAACTAATGATGATTTTAAAACCTACGAATAAAAGATGTTATTATTCGTTCAAGATTTTACATATAAATAGATATTCACAGATTAAATTCTGGATCACTTACAACGCTAAAAGTATTCATCGATAGAATAAATATTTTGCCAGCTGTAAGTTTGGGCGGGTATTTCGATATAATGAGCAATAAAATAATATCACGAGCTTTTCTTCCAGGTAAATTGTACCATTCTATTTCATACAAAGCAGTCGCGATTTCACTACCCTGCTATCACATTCATGTCTATTATGCCAATGACTAAATAATCTTCTCTATGTTAAAAAATCGAATGAATGATAAGGTAAACAAACTTGTGAATGAATCGAATCTCGAAAATTTATTTTTTAAAAGTACCTGCTCAAGAAGAAGTTCTCCTACGTAACAAAATATTAATATATTGAAAGTGAAAGAAAATAAGAGAACGACGTATGTTAATATTGCAGCTGAATCGCTGGTCTCCCATTCCTAAAATATATCAATTTGTAATTATTTTTTGTATAATAATTTTGTATAATAATCATTTTTTTGTTTAAATATCAATTCATTATTCAATATTAAATAATTTGTCATTTTTACCACCATGCAGTAATATTCAAGCAAACACATTAATAAAGTTGACACTATCACTTCTACTAAAAATAATTCACGTAATGTTGTTTCAACATTTTTCGCAAATCTGCAATTCCACAATTATTACTTTAACACATCTATATTGTATTTTATATATATTTTATATATATGTATAATATAATTTATTATTTGTAATAAATAAGCAAAATAATACAATGAATATTTATGCAAATTCATACTTCTTTGTATATTTTATATTTAAATTTATATTTTTATATTTAAATTTCTCAAAAATACATGAATATCCGTAACCACGATGTACTTATAATCATGATATTAACCATCTTACCTTAAAATTTCCACATGATTGCTGATAATAACCGCCAGATGACTCTCGATACCTGTTTCTAACACTTTCTTTTCGTTCTTCAAGTTCTCCAATCGTAACGTTTGTATCTTAATCTGTCCGCAGGCATGAGTGATGAAGATTGCTGTTAAACTGTACGCGGCCATCGTGATATTACCTACGACGATAACATAAATACAGTGCATACAATATATAATTTCATATGTGGGACTCTTTTGAATGTTGAAAAATGCCTCATAACCAGGATAGGTAAGTGGTCTAATTGTAAAATTCTCAATTTTTCTCTTCGAAAGTAATGGCATAATGGTGTGATAAAATAAACCACCAGTGTACATAAAAGCTGCGCATAATGTGATTAAATTTCTGCCCATGATTACATATCGTGACATGATGACACGATGATCCTCATTTTGCAACATCTTCCAATCTTTTTCCACATGTTTTATGCAATGACCAAGCTCTGAACTTTTTATGCTAAGATAACCATATTTGAATAGCGCACTTAAACAAAATGTTAACGGTCCTAAAAATTTGATTTTCATATTCATATCCTTCTCATAGAATAGAATATAATAACCGAACGGCACGATGACGAATTGTATTATGAAAAAGCAGATCACGATTAGAACCACGGATAAAATTCTTTCGAATTTGTTCGTTTGGCTGCAGATGAAATAATGGATGCCTAATGGTTTTAAAATCCAATGGCAGAATTGAAATGTATAATATATATCGCTTTCATAATGATCATTTAGTGGAAGATCGTCAATATCACTTGTAGATCGCATGCTGACACTTGCGGCGCATAGCACTAACTGAAGTCGTCGATGTATCAGAGAACAACTCTGAAAAAAATGATTCAAGGGACGCAAGCGCAAGATTGAATGAAACTTTTTCTTCGTAATCGATAGCATGTGATAGGAATCACATATTGCTTTGGTTAACTTATAGTCAGAACAATTGAATACTTTGGTTTTACAGTAATATGTGAATGATTCTTAATATTTCGTTTGGTATATTTTTAAAGGAATGAGATAAACATGTGGAACAATAAATAAAGTGATTAGATTTATAAATAAAATTAAAAATTTTCGAATAATTTTCGTAGTTTTGTTCTTGAAAAATGAAATTTATTAAATAAATATATTTTCAATATATGCATTGTTTATATCATTGTCATTTGACATAACATATTTAATATGCAAAAACAGTTTTTATTGGATCTAGAATCGCAAATCATTCCATGAATCTTATTGAATATTTTTTTTTTTTGCAGAGAATTAAGAGAACATACATTATTGAAAATATACACGAACATGATAATCTTTCGGTTATTTTAACTTCCATACTAGATCGTAAAATAATCATAATATAATAAATGAAAAATATTTTTATCAGGCAATTGATACCAGTTTGTCATGTAAACTGTTACCGATTTTTTACACTGTCAAGAATTCGGTAAGTTTGATTATATGAATTACATGTACGATTTAATTAATTACATGTAAGATTATATGTAATATTATATTTTCATAACCTGTTCCAAAAATATTCCATCTATATAACATATTAAAAATATATTAAAAGTTATAGATATAACATAATCAATATTATAACATAATTAAATTTTGAATATTATGCTCATTCGTAAAAAAAAATAAATATTTTTCAATTAGACTAATAAGATAAATTACAATTAATCTTCCTTTGCTATTGCTTATTTATGAAATAAATTATATAAAATTATATAAAAAATTAAAAAATAATGTATTTTATAAAATATTAATTAAAATAAGAGAAATATTTATTAACTTATAATTTGATAAATTATTTTGAATATAAAAAAAAATAAAAAAAGAATATATAAGAGAATATAAAAAAAAAAAACAATTATATTCTATGAAGTGAATTTTTAATTTAAATGTTCAAATATAATAAATATTTTATATATTCATTGATTAATAAATAAAATATATGATTTCATTAATTATTATGATAATTATAATTCGATAGTTGGACATAAATTAAAAATTTGTTTTTATTATTTTATTTTAATAATTTCTAAAAATTTTTTTTTAATCGATAGATTTAAAATCTTTATGCATGTTTTTTATATGTATCTTATAAGTTTTTTCATATCTTATAAGGATATAATAACTAGACACATTTCCAACATTTGAACATTTCCACGAAGCATATTTAATTAAATGTTTAATATGTGCTATATTCAATAAAAAAAGTGCGAAAAGATATTGAAATATAATGTTATTTTAAAACTTTCAGATGATCTTCAATGATTACGACAATGATTACTTTTAGAACTGGTTTTTTTATTCTTACAATCTCCTTAATTGATGAAATTCAATAATCCATGTTATCATATTTAACATTCGCATGGATGGCAAAGACTGAAAGCAAGGCTGAAAGCGTGGTATTCGAGTTCATGATGAATCCTAATAGAAATTGAGTACCAAGGATGACATTATTATTTGATATTAAATGAAATTTTATAGATAGAGCAAGATAAAGTATACACGGCCATGATCATGTTGCCTAATCTCTTGGTCTATTTAAAAGTCCTTAATATAATGTAAGTATAGAAAACACTATCTTGCATGAAGAGTGCACAGAAGCAAGTAATGTAACGATCAACTTTTGCGTTCATCAATATCACTTGTTGATTTTTCATTCTGATGGATTTTCAATTGTTTCGTATGTGCTCTATACAATGATAAATGTAGTATCATCTTTATATAGAAGCAAAGCGTAATTGAATTCTTCAAACACACCAGTGAGTCAGAGGACTGAGCGATTTTAATTCTGAATAGATTTTTTTTTGAACATGATGTGAAATATATTTGAGATTATAATGAATGAAGTAACAAAGAATGTAATGAAGAATATGAATGAAGTAACAAGCCAACAAGTGAAAATTAAAATTTTCGAAACGATTCTTTTCGAAAATTTTTCATTCTTAATAGAAGGCGAAAGAAGCTATGCTATTGGCTTCAAGAACAATCGATTTAGTTGTGTGCTGTATTCACTTAGACTATCGAATTTTTTTTTCATCACGAGATCGTCCGACATGGTGACGGTATTCTCTCAATAAAGCCGTGAAAACAATTGCGTGGAGGTATCGTAATTTTACACAATATATCTGCGCATATTTTTACAAATGATATGTATCGATCAATATATATGCTTGGTTACATGTGTATTTTTGTTGATAGTAATCGCATGATTCGCATAACGTGCACACATATGGAGCGATGGATATTAAATGAAATGTTTTTGCAAAGAGATAAAATTCATGAATATATGAAAAATAACTTAGAAATATGATATTATATATTATCGATCAAAAATTCATTAAGTGAAAATAAATTGTTATCTTTCTTAATGCAAAAAAAATATTTTTGATCATAGTTTTTGATCATATATACAAAGTTGCATAATATTTGAGGATATATTGGGATAAGAGTCAATCAAAAGATAACTGAATGATTATGCACTATATTTTCAATGATAATTCGTTCTTCTTTCTGAATAATCTTTTTTTGAGTAAATTTGATATATCTATTTTCTATATAAAGATGATAAATTGATTTATGGTGGATAATAAGTATTTTCCTCTATTATTCATTGATGTATGATCTTATATGATTATATATCTTGTGATTTTCGATCCATATACATGCTTATTTTTATGAATTTTATTATATTAAATTTATAGAAATTAATCAATCAAATCTATATTTCTTTGCCCAATTTGTTACTTTTATGCAAAGCTTACAATTTGTCTTTGGACAAAAAATTGAAAAAACAATTCCCCTTTATTTATTGATATGTATCGCTTCCAGAAGCAAACTTCTAATTTATATGAATTTCTAATAATATGAATTCTAGTATAATAATTAATATTATTAATTATTGTATATATATGGTTAAATAATATATTGCATTTTTGAAATTAATAGATAAATTTGAAACATTGAATCGTCATATTATCATTATAATTTTTTCATCAAGAGAAGAAGAAGAATCATCAAGATTTGAAATTAAATCATTGCTTTACAAAAACCATTTCATTATTTCATTATTTTTATTTATGGAACATGCAAGTAAAAAATAAAAGAATTATTTTTTTTAAATTTTTTAATTTTATATTCATAACTAATAAATTTTATTGTCTAAATATATGTATTTTCAATGTCTATGTATGCAATTTACATCATTGTTGTTTGACGCAGCATATTTAAATATGCGAAAACTGTTTTTACTATCTGGAATTGTAAATTACCTTATAATTCTTTTTGAAAATCAATATTATTTTTTTTATAAAAATGAAAAAAATTACGAACGTACATTACCGAATGTATATATTGACATGGTGATTATCTTTCCGGCAGTTATTTTAACTTCCACACTAGATCGTGAAATAATCATAATTAAATTAAGTATATCTTTGTCAGGTAACTGATACCAATTCGTCATATAAACCATGTCTCCGACCTTTTTGCACTGTCAGTAATTCGGCGAATAATGAATTAATTATGTTTAAGATATCATATTATCGTATACTCATTACCTGTTCTTTTAATATTTCACCGATACAACATACCAATAAAATATTGAAAGACATAGATAAAGCTACCATAACATACATAGTCAAATTTTGAATATTGCGTTCAGACCATTCCTAAGAAAAAATAAAAATTTATTTTCAATTAAATATATCATATCTATATTATTTAGATAAATTATTCATTATTATTATTATTTTTTTTAATTTGTGATTTTAATAGAATTTATTATAGTGCAAAAAGAAAGAGAAACCTGTACAAAACTATACTAATAACTATGTATATTATTTTTATATTATTTTTACTATTAATAATATATTATTTTTTATTATTATATTATTTTTATTAATTTTAACTATTATAATATTTTTATTAAATTAAATCCTGATAAAATTTTATGATTATTAACAAAAATTTTTATAAAATTAAATTAAATTTTATTTTTATTATTTTATTTTATTTGATTTCTTTTTAATTTCAAATGTTATGGAATGTTAATGGAACTAAGATTATCATGTATATTTTTGTATAAGTTTCTCATATTTGTCAAAATGATTAGATGAATTATTTTCAATATAGAAATAAATAATTAACAATTATAGATCGACAGAGAAAAAACGAATTTTCAAAAATACATATCCAAATTTAATACATAATAAATAAAATATTCACTGTTTCAATTAGAAATTATTTAAATTATTTTTGATCGATCTATAAAATCGTCATATATATATTTTAATAAATTTTGCCTACCGCAAGAAAGTAATAACTAGGCATGCACATACCCATCATACATTTCAACAATTCCACGAAGTATATTGGACACATTATACGTTCGATACGTGCTACGAGACTGCGATCAATGCACAATTAGAAAAATTTGTGAAAAAAATATCAAAACGAATATATTAATATATATATATTACCTCAGGATTCTCAGATGATGTTCGACGATTACACCTATTTTGTTGATATGATTATCCTTATTCTCTTTTTGCAGGCGATCCACGAATTCGTTAACCCATGTCATCATTATGTTCAACTGACCAAGAACATGGCATGTAAAGATGGTTGCAAGAGTGAAAGAGGCGCTGGCACTTGAACTCACGACAAATGCTGATAGAAACTGAGTACCAAGCATGATATCATGAATCCTTGGATCGGTATCAAATGGAATCTTATAAGCAGGACAAGGTAAGCTGTATAATTCCACGGTTTTATTATCAACATGTATGGATCGTTTGAATATTCCGAATATGAAACACGTAAAGAAAATGACAATTTGCATAAAAATTGCGCAGAAAGCTGCAATATAACGGCCGATTTTTGCATTCCTCAGCATCACTTGTTGATCTTGCGTTCTTGTTATCAATTTCCAATCGGCTCGTAAATGTTCTATGCAATGAAGTATGTCATTTTTACGTAGCAATAATATGGCATAATTGAACCCATCGACACACCAATGAGACAAAGGACCGAATATTTTCAATTTTACATAGATATCTTGTTTTACAAAAAGTATGTAAAGTATACCAGGTATTATCGTAAATAATATTATGCACCAACAAATTACAATCAAAATTTGCGATATGATTCTCTCCATCTTTGTGGTAGAAGATGAGGCAGGCCATGCGCCTAATGGTTTTAAATACCATCTACTCAGTTTTATACTGTATTCGCTGAGATTATCAAATTTCTGTTTAGCCACATTAATGTCGTTTGTCATCACGTTCTCTCCCTGATTTCCTTGACAAAGTCGCGGAGACAACTGAATCGAGAATTGGTTTGTCGAACTATGTTCTCCAACGCTTGCGCAAAGGATGCGCATCGATCGATTCGTCTAGTCAGTTGTTTTTTCAATCATAGTGAATATGTTAACAGTATAGGTACATTTCAAGTTGTCGACAGTAGCTGAAATGAATTGGGTAATATGCACCGTACTATGGACCAATGAAGAATTAAATAAATAAAGAATAAATCAGCAATAAATTCATAAAAAATTAAAATTATTTTAAACATTTGAAATATGATCTAGAATGTGATATGCTATATGGAATATTTTGAAATCGTAAATATATCATTTTATCACAAGAAATTCAATCCGTACATTGCTAGTGCAGTTGAAGTCTCTTCCTCAACCACCAGTTGATTCAATTCATAGAATATATACATATATATACATATATATATAGTGAAGAGGTAAGGTATATATAGTGAAGTGTAAGTATTCAATTATATCTTTAGAAATATTTACTTATTTATAGTTATTATTTTATAAAAAAATTTAATTTAAAAATTGAAAATTAAAAAGAAAATTAATTCTGTATAAATATAAATAAAAAAAATATTTGTTGAATTTTTAATTTCACATAAATTTATTTAAACTAAAAAATTATGAAGTTTAATATCTAAGTATATCTTGAGTACATGTTTACATCATTGTAATTTGACGTAACACATTTAAGTAAGCGAAAACTGATTTTACTATCTGGAATGGCAAATTATTCCATAAATTTTTTTATAAATTGCATAAAAATTTTTTTTTCAGTAAAAGAATTATGGAAACATACCTTACCAAATGTAAGAACTGACATATTAGTCATCTTTCCAGCAGTCATATTTATATTCATACTAGATCGTTTAATGATCATCATCAAATTAAGAATATTTTTATCAGATAATTCGTACCAATTTGTCATGTAAACTATGTCACCGATTTTCTTACACTATGAAAAATTTGATTATTCGGTAAGTGATTGAATTATTTAACTAATTATTTATTAAAATATATAAATTACCTCTTCTGTTATAATTTCACCGATATAACATACTAAAAAAATATTATAAGTCATAGATATAATTATCATAACATATACTGTCAGATTTTGAACATTATGTTCAGACCATTCCTACGAAAACATAAATAATTTTAATTCGACAAAATTATCCTTATATTTATCTTGTTCAAATTAATCGAATAATTTTTTCTATTATTTCAGTGTAAAATGAATAAAAAATTGCATTTTATCATATATATTGTTGTTCCATAGATTGAAAAATTATAAATTTTCATTATTAGTAGTAAACTAAATAATTATGATGGCTATGGAAATATAGAAAATATTGAAAAATATTCTTTTACTATTTTATCATAATTCATTAAAAAAATTTTGCATTTACTTAATAGACCTATAGAATTATCGTACACACACATTTTAATTCATTTACCGTAAGAATATAATATATAGGCATGCATATTCCCACCATACATTTAATCATTTCCATGAAACATATTGGACTCATCACATGTTCAATACGTGCTATGAAACTGTAAAAAATAAATAGAGAAATTCTTTAAAAACAATAAGAAAAAATGCAAAAACAATTACCTTAGAATTCTCAAATGATGTTCGATGATTATACCTATTTTGTTAATATAGGCATTATTATTTAATTCCATTGACCGATTAACATACTCATTGATCCATATCATCATCAGATTCAACTGACCAAGAGCATGGCTTGCACATACAGCAACAAAACTAAAAGCGCCAGCGGTGCTCGAACTACATATAAATGCGGACAATAATTGCGTACCCAATATAATATCGTGTGTTGGATTTGTATCAACTGGCATATTATAAGCTGGACAAGGTAAGTTGTATATGTTCACAGTCTCGTTGTCGACTTTAATAGTTTCTTTGAATGCTCCCAATGCAAGACAAGTACAAAAGACGCCACCTTGTAAGAAAACTGTACAGAAAACTGCGACGTAGCGACCAATTTTCGCGTTTTTTAACATCACTTGTTGATCTTGCTTTTCTGTAATAATGTTCCAATCGGCGCATATTTGTTTTATGCAATAATGTATATCATCTTTACATAGCAATAACACAGCATAATTGAATCCTCCAACTAACCAGTGGGTCAGAGGACCTAGAAATTTCAATTTCACGTAAATATTTTCTTTTTCTAAGAAAATGTGAAGCACACCCGGAATTAACGTGAATAACGAAGAGATCCAACAGATGACAATTAAAATTTTTGAAACAATTTTTTCGATTCTTGACTTATAAAGTGAGGCTGGCCATGCACCTATCGGTTTCAATATCCATCGATTGAATTGTATACTGTACTCGGAAAGATTACCGAATTTCTTTTCGATTTTTATAAGATCATCTGCCATCGTGCAGTCACAACAAAATCGCGCATGCAACTGAATCGAGGATTCGATGCGCTGTATTTATCCAACGCTTGCGCATACTTTGTCAAAGGATATGCGCCGATCGATTTGATACAGTTAATGAAACTTATGTGAGTATACATTTCAAATTGTTGATAGTAACGGTATGAATTTGACAATATGTGTGCAGTAGAAACTAAATTTACTTTCTTTATTAAATATATAATTTAATTTCTACTGTACACATAATCGAATTCATATAGTATTTTCGAAATTTATAACACGATTTGGAAATGTGATACGCTATGTCAGATAATGTCATTCTAGAAATGTGAACGAAGAAGATTTATTTTTTATTTAATATTTTTTTTAAACTTATTTTTTTTAAACAATTCTAATAAGTATTAATAAGTATTTAAGATTTAAAGAAAAAAAAAAAAAGATCAAAATAATATATGACAAATAATATAAGTTATATTAAGTATTACTGTGATTTTAAGTGTTCATTTCAATTAAATCGGTGTAAGTAAATTATATAAATAGAAAAATTTTTTAATATTTTCTTTATGCAATTGTTTAGAATATGCTGATAGAAAATGTGTACTATTTATAACAATATTATAAAACTGCAAATTATAACTTTTTGAAATGGAAAAATGCAATATATATATATATATATATCTATATGTAACATATAGATTATTATGGATGAAAAAAAAATTTCTTATTTCATATTTCTTTTAAAATGATTCACGAATATAATTAGTAATATGCAAAGTTTATTATTAAATGTATATTTGATACATATTTTCCTTATGCTCAATACATGTGCACTTTACAATATTGTCATTTGGCGTAATATATTTAGGTATACAAAAACAGTTTTTACAATCTGAAATTGTAAATATATTTGAATATTTTCGATAATGTATTTCAACTAATGATATATTTCATAAAAATTTGAAAAAATCAGACGTACATTACCAAATGTGATTACCGATATATCAATTATCTTTCCAGCAGTCATTTTATATTCTACGCCAGATCGTATAATAATCATAATCAGATTAAAAATATCTTTATCAGGTAAATGATACCAATTTGTCATGTAGACAATGTTACCAATTTCTTTACATCTTTCAGTTAATATTTCACCGATATAACATATTAAAAATGTGCTTAAAATCACATTCATTACTGCAAAAATATATATACCGAGGACCCTAATATCACGTTCAGACCATTCCTGAGAAAAAATGAATATTTTTAATTAGATTGATTATTTGTTATTAATCTAATGATTTTCTTATTACTTGAATTTATGAGACTCATAAAAAATTATGATACGTAGAATAGGATTCATTTAATTAATTTCAATTATCTTGAAATAATTAATTAAAATATTTTATATTTCCAAAAATAGATTAAACTTAATACTTGAAAAATTTCTAAAATTAAAAAATTAATAGAAATGAATCTTATTCTATGTCAAATTAAATGATTCTATTAAAAGTAAAGAATTTAATATATTTATGTCGTAAATCAGTGTCTTAAAAATTTATGTTTTAATATTTCTGTTTACAGTGATGAAATTTGCGGATCTGTGTAGTATATCAACGTGCGACAAACCAAATTATTTTCAACAAAAAAATACACAAAATTAATTATAGATTTTGAAAATGAAAATCTTAACAAATATAATTAAATTTGGAAAATAGCATACCGCAAGAATGCAATAGCTAAACATGCATATACTCAAAATATTCTTGAACATTTCCATGAAGCATATTGGGCTCAATAGATGTTCAGTACGTTCTAGGAAACTTTAGTTAATATGTAATTAGAGAAAATCTCTAAAGAAAGATAGATAAATAGATAAAAAGAGAAAGAAATAGAAATAGAAAAAAACTATACAAAAAATGTTACCTTAGAATTCTTAAATGATGTTCGATGATTACACTTATTTCATCAATGCGTATATTCTTATTTTCTTTTTGTGGCTGATTTACAAATTCTTGAATCCACGTAATCATTATAGTTAACTGACCAATAGCGTGATATGCAAATACTGTAGCAAGACTGAAAGCGATAACAACAGTAGCACTACTTGTATATGATGTCAGATATTGCAAACTAAGAATGATACCATGCCCTGGATTAGTATCAACCGGAATTTTATAAGTTGGAAATGGTAAGACATATATTTCCATACTATCATTGCCAATTTTGATTGTCCGTTTCAAAACTCCCAAAACGATGCAGAAACAAAAAGTACCAATGTGCATAAAACCTGCGATGCAACCGGAAATGATGCGACCAATTTTCGCGCTTTTAAGCATCACTTGCTGATCTTCCATCCTCGTAATTATTTTCCAATCAGTTTCTATATGTTCTATACAATATCGTATATCGTTTTTACGGAGCAACAACACGGCGTAATTAAATCCTCCCCCAAAGCAGTAGCTTATAGGGCCAAGTGTTTTTAGTTTCGAAACAATATCCTCTTTCACGAAAATAAAATGTAATGAACTTGCTAATATAATAAATAATAAGATGATCCAATAGAAGAAAATTAGAATTTTTGTCATTATCTTTTCGAATTTTGAGGTGAAGGACGGAAGTGGCCATACACCTATCATTTTCGAGAGCCATCTGTTCAATTGTATGCTATATTCGTTCAGACTACCAAATTTCTTTTGAACCGCGACAACGTCATCTGCCATCGTGTTTCCTCGATGAAGTTGCAGAAACGACTGAATGATATACGCACAATATTATACAGATGATGTGCGCCGATCGATACACTCCGTTGACAATAGTTATGTGCCAATACTTAATCCATGCATTTACGTTTTATTTCGTTGAAGATAGTTGTATAGTACGTACTTGATGGAATGATAGAGATTAAAATACATATATATATATTGTAACCAAACAATAAAGTTCATAAAAAGGGCCCTATAAGTGAAATGTTATTTTGAAATATGATGTGTGTTATTTGTAATATTAATCGAAAAATTAATAAATGAAAAATAATAGAGAATAAAATAAATATTTTATTCTTTTTAATAATTATAATGATATTCAAATAACAAAGTGTAGTGTAGTATGATTAACTTTTTTAATAATGATTTTCAATATAAGAAAGAAATCAAATTTTAATTTTTTTGTCTGCCTTAAATATGTTAAACTTGAAACACAGAGTTCTAAAATTCTATTGTTTAGTTGCATAATAGAATTATGAAGTTTATTCATAATTCTAAAATTTAATTTATGAAATAAATATTGAAATAATAATTTCAATATTTAAAAAAAATAGTAAAAATTTCGAAATAGTAATCATTTTAAATTATGATAAAATTTTTGTAGTATCACAAAATCTTTATTTAGTTAAATAAATTATTTAGTTAAGATTTTAGTTAGATTTTAACATCTGTGACAACAAAAAACAATTAAATGAAATATGAATTATTATAAATATAATTTGATATAATAAATGAACTCACTCACTTTTTTATTTGAATTTTCCAGTTCTTCAATTTTGTTGAATTCGAAATTGAAAATATCAATATCAAATGTTTTTTTTTTTTGATAAACGATGTCAATTCATCATGTAAGTTAACAAACCAATAATTCGCATTATGATAGATAATTAAAATAGATAATTAAAAATGAATTCTATTATGAATTATTAAATAAATTCTTTTTTTTCAAATAATAAGAAATAATTTATATAAAAATACGATATCTGTTTCGATAAAATTTCACCATAGTATGAATATAAATATTGAACAATATAAACAAATTATATATAATAAATTAATATCTATAATTTCATTTTGTTTTCATTTTTTCATAAAAAAGTTGAGAACGAAACATAATATATATCACAAATTCAACGAAATTTATTTCATTTAAAAACTTTTTTTTTGAAATATAAAGTTGAAAATTTTCCATAAGTATAGTATAATATTATCATTTAAATTTACATATATTTTATCTTAATATGATGTTTCACAATGTTGTTTAATTGTTATTTATGCGTTTCTTCGTTCTTTTAGGTTATCGACCAAACATCGTTATAAGAATTCCAAACTCTTCACAATTGAGTATAATAAAAAATGATAATCAAATTATAAGCACTTGAATAATGGAATATCACAAATCCAACTAAGCATCAAATACATGATTTCAAAAAACATAATGATGCGTAGAAAAAGTTCAATCTCATTATCGATCATTTCTACCTCTATATAAAGAGTTCATCACAATGATATAGAAAAATTCATCGGAATATATAAAATTGACGCAGAAAATTTTCAAAAATCGATTAATTCTCGCATTCTTAATCATTTTTTTTTATATTCCAGACATTGTTGCAAAGAAGTATGAGACTAGTCGAGTTCAATTATATTTTTATCCTTAATGTACTTTTTGATAATTTACGCGAAATGAAAATGTATTTCGAGGAGAAACTGAACGAATTGATCATTTTGATTTTAAGGTCGAAATCTTCTGTTTTGTCGAGAAGAGAAATGCAACATACTAGTAAGAAATTCATTAGAAAGAAATTATTAACATGAGGATCACAAAATGAATTTTCTTCTTAATGAGAGAAAAATCTATTAGTATCAATAATTAACAACTTATTTGGACATCCAATCTCTACTATAAATGGATGGCAAGTTTGTAAGTACGAACATAATGATAATTTACAAAAAAATTGTACAGATAATTGAGAGGAAATGTTAAAATGCACAAATGATAGATATTATCGATATACGATTATGAATATTTTCAATAAATCGATTTCAATACTTTCGATAAATCGATTCGTGTGAATTGTTGCGAGTGCGATTAAACTCTCTCTTGACCATCAGTTGATTCGATTCGATAAGTGCTTATATTAAAATGGAAAGATATTGTATATACAATGAAAATATTAAAGAAATAAATTTTTAGATACGTTTTATATTGTGATATTTATGTGTTTTAATTACAATACTTTTCTTAAGAATAATACTGAATAATTTTTTTATAAATTTATTTTAAAATTTTTTTGTACATGCTTTCTAATAATAATAATTATATGGACCAATGATTATTAAAGTGAATTTTTTCTTAGAAAGTAAAATTTATAAAAAGAATATCTTAAATATTTGAAGATTCGAAAATATGATGCATGTCAGATAATACCAAAGAGTTAATTAATTAAAGTAAAAAATTTATATTCTTTCTTTTAATATTGTAATAATTATTCTTTTAATGCAATATACTGTATTAAATTTTATAAATATTGAATATGTCACAATAAAAAAATTAATCTTAATTTTTCTGATTTAGAATTGATTTTTTTTAAATAGATTTGACTGTATCACAAAATTACATTCATTTTAAATTGTGTAAGTATTATACAAATAGAAAAAAATTTTTATGTTTTCTTTATAGCGTATATATGGAAATGTATTATAATAATATTATAAGATTGCAAATTAGAATCTTTTGAAAGAGAGAGATGCAACTAATTATTATGAATGAAACAAACATTTTTTATACTTTCAAATTTATTCAAATATAATTAATAATATGCAAAATTTATTTTTAAATATTTTTTTTGAATATTTGATACATATTTTTTATGTGCTTAATACATAAAAAATGTTTATATATAAAAATTTACAATATTGTCATTTGGCGTAATATATTTAAGTACACAAAAACAGTTTTTATAATCTGAAATTGTAAATATATTTGTATTTTTGATAATGTATATCAATTAATGATATATTTTATAAAGAATTGAAAAAATCAGACGTACATTACCAAATGTGATTACCGATATATCAATTATTTTTCCGGCAGTCATTTTGTATTCCATGCTAGATCGTGTAATAATCATTATCAAATTAAGAATATCTTTGTCAGGTAATCGATACCAATTTGTCATGTAAACCATGTTACGAATTTCTTTACATCTTTCAGATAATATTTCACCGATATAACATATTAAAAATGTGTTTAAAGTTATACATATTACTGCAAAAGCATATATACCAAGGACCCTAATATCATGTTCAGACCATTCCTAAGAAAAAATGAATATTTTTAATTAGATTAACTATTTATGTTGTTTACATTAATTTAATGATTTTCTTATTACTTGAATTTATGAAATTCATAAAAAAATTACATATAGAATAGGATTCATTTAATTAGTTTCAATTATCTTGGAATAATTAGGTAAAATGTTTTACATTTCCAAAAATAGATTAAACTTAATACTTGAAAAATTTCTAAAATTAAAAAATTAATAGAAATGAATCTTATTCTATGTCAAATTAAATGATTCTATTAAAAGTAAAGAATTTAATATATTTATGTCGTAAATCAGTGTCTTAAAAATTTATGTTTTAATATTTCTGTTTACAGTGATGAAATTTGCGGATCTGTGTAATATATCAACGTGCGACAAACCAAATTATTTTCAACAAAAAAATACACAAAATTAATTATAGATTTTGAAAACGAAAATCTTAACAAATATAATTAAATTTGGAAAATAGCATACCGCAAGAATGCAATAGCTAAACATGCATATACTCAAAATATTCTTGAACATTTCCATGAAGCATATTGGGCTCAATAGATGTTCAGTACGTTCTAGGAAACTTTAGTTAATATGTAATTAGAGAAAATCTCTAAAGAAAGGTAGATAAATAGATAAAAAGAGAAAGAAGTAGAAACAGAAAAAAATTATACAAAAAATGTTACCTTAGAATTCTTAAATGATGTTCGATGATTACACTTATTTCATCAATGCGTATATTTTTATTTTCTTTTTGTGGCTGATTTACAAATTCTTGAATCCACGTAACCATTATAGTTAACTGACCAATAGCATGACATGCAAATACTGTAGCAAGGCTGAAAGCGATAACAACAGTAGCATTCATTATGTATGACGTCAGATATTGCAAACCAAGAATGATGGCATGCCCTGGATTAGTATCAACTGGAATTTTATAAGTTGGAAATGGTAAGACATATATTTCCATACTATCGTTGCCGATTTTGATTGTTCGTTTAAAAACTCCTAGAATGGTGCAAAAACAAAGAGTACCAATTTGCATGAAACCTGCGATGCAACCGGAAATGATGCGACCAATTTTCGCGCTTTTAAACATCACTTGCCGATCCCCCATCCTCGTGATCATCTTCCAATCGGCTTCTATGTGATCTATACAATAACGTATATCGTTTTTACGAAGTAGTAATACTGCATAATTGAGCCCTCCACCGAAGCAATAGCTTATTGGGCCAAGTGTCTTTAATTTCGTGACTATATCTTCTTTCACGAGAATGAAATGTAATAAACTTGCTATTATGATGAATAGCATGATAATCCAATTGAGGAAAATTAGAATCTTCGTTATTATCTTCTCGAATTTTGAGGAAGAGTATGGAAGAGGCCATACTCCTATCGTTTTTGAAAACCACCTATTTAATTGTATACTATATTCGTTTAAACTACCAAACTTTTTTTGAATCGCGACAATATCGTCTGCCATCGTGTTTCCTCAACGAAGTCAGAGAAACGACTGAATGGTATACACACGGTGTTATATGGGTGATGTACATCGATCAATAAATATACTCCATAGCTTGTACTTCCATAATTATCGGCAACGGTAATCTATGTGTTTATTTTTCATTTCGTTGAAGGTAATATAATGTGTATTTGATATAGTGATAGAGATTAAATTAGATATCTTAGCAAAGTAAGAAAATTTATAAAAATGACTTGTAAAAATTTTTACAAGTGAAATGTGATTTTAAAAAATATGTAATACTTAATATCAATCGAAAAGATAGTGAGTAGATAATAAGAAAATAATATATATATATATTTTTATTAATCAATGGTATTTAAATAGTAGAATATCGTATATTGAAGATTGTGATTGTTAATATTTTTGGTAATTTTGATATAAAAAAAAACTACTTTTTTTTAATAATTCATTAAGAAAGTTGTAACGAAAAGAAAAATGTTGTTTAAAATTAGCTCAGGAAGAATTTTTAAGAAATCGAAATATAACAAATGCAATTTTGCTGTTATCACATGATCTCGATTATTATTTCAGTATAGATAATGAAAACATTCAATTCATACATTCTACAAATTTAATAAAATATCTCATTTAGAAACTTGAGATATAAAATTGTTATCCATAAACGCAATATGATATTACTATACAAATTTACACTTATAATACATACTTTTTGCTCTAATATATGTAAATAATATTTTATAATATTAATGTTATTTATGCATCTCCACTTATTATATCCTTTTTTAATTCCTTTCAGTTTATCAAGTAATCTTCATAACTTTATTACAAGAATTTGAAATTATCTACAAGCGTGCATAAACGTGCAAACCAAGCACTTACAGAAACGGAATGTATCACAAATTGTATAGATCAAGGATAAATCGGGAAAATTCATTGGATTTCATGATTACATTATCGATCTTTTTTATACAAAGAAGCTTTGCAGTCACAAAAGGATTTGTTGGAATATATGAAACTGAAAATTGATTGATGAGTTTTCATATTCTTCATCATTTTTTTATTTTCCAGACACTATTGCAAAGAAGCACGGAATAAATCAGCTGAAATGTCCTTAATGCATTATGCTATTCATGCGAGACAAAAACATAATATTTAATTGGAAACTCTAAATGGATCATTTTGATCTTCGAATCGAAATCTTCTGTTTTGTCGAGGAAAATGCATAAAATATAGGAGGTAGTAGGAGGAGACTTAAATTGTGTAAGTATATTATATAAATAGAAAATAGAAAAAATTTATTAAAGATTTATTTGAATGCAAAAATATGTAGTAATGTATTGTAAATTATATTATAAGATTATAAACTGTAAATGTTATTCATTTAATCATTTTATTTAGCCTCAAGTAATTCAGTATGTGTATACTGCTAGTGCAGTTGAAGTCTCCTCTTAACCACCAGTTGATTCGATCACAAGAATATGTATGTATAAATTTATTAACAATAAGTGCAAATGAAAGTTCAATGAAATTTTTACAAATATTTATTTTCAATAATAAATATATATAGATACTTGTAAGATATTTTATTTGCTATTTCATAAAAAAATATTTAATTTACAAATTATAAGAAGAAAATTGCAATTCAGAAATAACTAAAATATTTGTTGAAAATTTCAAATTTCAAATTTAATAATCTAAATATAAGTTGAATATATATATAGTTTATATCATTGTCATTTGACGTAGCATATTTAAATATACGAAAACTGATTTCACTGTCTGAAATTGCAAATTATTTCATAAATTTTTTTACGAATAGAAATTATATTTTTTAATAAAGAAATTATAGAAACTTACATTACCGAATGTAAGCACCGACATGTTAATCAACTTTCCGGCACTCATATTTACACTGATACTAGATCGTGAAATAATCATCATTAAATTAAAGATATCTTTGTTAGATAATTCATACCAATTTGTCATATAAATTATTTCTCCGATCTTTTTACACTAGAGAATGGTAAGAATTCGAGTGGTAAAATCGAGTGTAAAAATGTAATTAATTATGTATTATAATATGTAATTTACCTGTTCTGTTAGAATTTCACCAATATAACATATTAAAAAAATATTGCAAGTCATAGATATAATTATCATAACATATACAGTCAAGTTCTGAACATTATGTTCAGACCATTCCTAAAATAAATATATTTAATTAATTATGATTTAGATAAATTTAATAATTTTTTTAATTTATGTTAATTTGTGAAAAAGTATAAAATTATATTTTATATATGTTATTATGTAAATTAGACAAATAATGTATAAACATAAACATTTATATTATTAATAATATAGATTATTAATAATGATATAGATATATAGAATATCTATGATAAAATATTTTTTAATGTGAAATTCGATAAATTATTTTGAGAGTACCAAAAAACAATTATAAATCTATGGATTATAATATTAATAGATATAAAATTGCCATACACACGCATTTTGATATATTTAGCGTACCGCAAGGATATAATAGCTAGGCATGCACATTCCCACCATACATTTGAACATTTCCATAAAGCATATTGGATTCATCAGGTGTTCAATATGTGTTATAAAACTGTAGTTAATGAATAATTAGAGAAATTCTTTAAAAAAATATCAAGATAAGAATCAAGATAAAAACAATTCTTACCTTAAAATTCTTAAATGATGTTCGACGATTATACTTATTTTATTAACATAGACATCATTATTCAACTCCATTGATCGATTAACAAACTCGTTGATCCATGCCACCATTATATTCAGTTGGCCAAGAGCATGGCTTGCAAACACAGCAGCAAGACTAAAAGCACCAGCAGCGCTCGAACTAGTAATGAATGCCGACAATAATTGCGTACTTAATATAATATCGTGGGTTGGATTTGTTTGAACTGGTAATTTATAGGCTGGACAAAGTAAACTATATATTTCTATCGTCTCATTGCCGTTTTTGATAGTCGTTTTAAATGCTCCTAATGCAAGGCAAGTACATAAAACGCCACCTTGCAAGAAAGCTGTACAAAAAGCTGCAATGTAACGACCAATTTTCGCATACTTTAACATTATTTGTTGATCTTGCTTTTTCGTGATAATGTTCCAATCAACACGTATATGTTCTATGCAATGTAATATATCATTTTTACGTAGCAAAAGCACGGCGTAATTGAATCCTCCGATAAACCAATGACTTAAAGGACCTATTGTTTTTAATTTCAAATAAGTATCTTCTTTTTCTAGGAGAAAATGAAGTACGCCAGGAATTAATGTAAATAATGAAAAACTCCAACAAAGAATGATTAAAATTTTCGATATTATTTTTTCGATCCTAGTAGTATAAAGGGAAGTTGGCCATGCACCTATTGGTTTTAAAATCCATCGATTGAATTGTATGCTGTATTCATTAAGACTACCAAATTTCTTTTCAATTTCTACAAGATTGTCTGACATGGTGTGACCACAACAAAATCGCGCACGCAACTGAATCGAGGATTCAAATGCACTGTATTTACTGAACGCTTGCGCATACTTAGTCAAAGGATGTGCGCCGATCGATTCGTCTAGTCAGTTGATATAACTTTACACTTACGTGAGTATTCATTTCAAATTGTTGATAATAAACATGAATTAGATAATGTGTGTGCAATGGAAATTAAATTGTATATTTATGAAGTAATTAATTTTGGTATTTGTAACATGATTTGATACGTGCTGTGTGCCAAATAATGTCATTTTAAAAATTAGTGAATGAATTGATTTATTTTTTATTTAGTATTTTATCTAAGCTAGTTATAATTTTGATCATGATATTAATTGTCTGGATTTTAAAAAAAAAAAGATAATCAAGTTTTTACATATTGTCTTGAATATTATTTTGTCTATTTTGTCCATTTTAATTAAATCAGTGTAAATAAATTACACTACTAAATAAATAAAAAAAAATTTTTTGTATATATGAAGTATATATGAAAAATATGCTATATTTATATATAATATTATTATAAAACTGCAAATTACAACATTTTGGAAAAAAGAGATATAACATATATTTGATCATTATGGATGAAAAAAATATTTCTTATCATTAATTTCAAGATCATATAAATATAATTAAATAATGAAATATAATTAATATGCAAACTTTATTTTTCAATGTATATTCGATACATATTTTTTTATATGTTCAATATATGTGCACTTTACAATATTGTCATTTGGCGTAATATATTTAAATATGCAAAAATAGTTTTTACTATCTGAAATTTTAAATTTATTATTATGAAAATTTTCGAAAATCAATAATGTATTATTTTAAAAATTAAAAGACGTACATTACCAAATGTAATCACCGACATATCAATTATCTTTCCACCAGTCATTTTGTACTCTATGCTACATCGTGTAATAATCATTATTAGATTAAGAATATCTTTTTTAGGCAATCGGTACCAATTTGTCATGTAGACGATATTACCAATTTCCTTACACTTTTCAGTTAATATTTCACCAACATAGCATATTAAAAATGTTCCTAAACTTATATTCATTGCAGCAGAAGCATATGCACTAAGGGCTCTTATATCACGTCCAGACCATTCCTACGAAAAAATGAATATGAAATTTTATGCTATTCATATTATTTCTCACAATTTTATTATTATTTGAATTTGTGACATTTATAAAAATTACAACAATTATATAGAATAGGATTCATTTCATTAATTTCAATTATCTTGGAATCTTATTTAGTTACTACTACTACTAATTTCTAATTCATTGATAATAATATTTCTTAAAATTATAGGAATAGAAATATATGATAGGATGAGAATAAAATAGAAATATGAATCATATTCTATATTAAATTGAATAATTCTATTGAAAGTGATGAATTTAATAAATATAAATTTATATCTTGAATCAATATTTTAAAAATATCTTAATATTTTTGTTACAGATAATACAACAATTTGTGGATGATGTATTGTATTACGAATGAATCATCATGTGATCAATTGGAAAAAATATTTTCAATACAAAAATGCACAAAACTAATGATCTTAAAAACGAAGTTCTCAATAAATATATTTAAATTTAAGAAATAGCATACCGCAAGAATGCAATAGCTAAGCATGCATATAGTCAAAATATTCTTGAACATTTCCATGAAGCATATTGGACTCAATAGATGTTCAGTACGTTCTAGGAAACTTCAGTTAATATGTAATTAGAGAATATTTCTAAAGAGAGATAGAAATAGATAGATAGATAAAAAGAAAGAAACAGTAAAAATAGAAAGAAACTATACAAAAAATGTTACCTTAAAATTCTCAAATGATGTTCAATGATTACACTTATTTCATCAACGCGTACATTTTTATTTTCTTCTTGAGGCCTATTTACAAATTCTTCGATCCACGTAATCATTATAGTTAGCTGACCAACAGCATGGCATGCAAACACTGTAGCAAAGCTGAAAGCGATAATAACGGTACCTGTTGCAATGTATCCTGCCAGAAATTGAAAACCAAGGACGATGTCATGTCCTGGATTAACATCAACCGGAATTTTATAAGTTGGAAAGGGTAAGACGTATATTTCCATGCTTTCGTTGCTGATTTTAATTGTCCGTTTAAAAGCTCCAAATACGGCACAAAAAACAATAGTACTAGTTTGCATGAAAGCCGCGAAACAACAGGAAATGATGCGACCAATTTTTGCATTTTTAAGCATTACTTGCCGATCGTCTGTCCTCGTAATTGCCTTCCAATCCGCTTTCATGTGTTCTATACAATAACGTATATCATTTTTACGAAGTAATAGAATGGCATAATTGAGTCCTCCGCCAAAGCAATAGCCTATAGGACCGAGTGTTTTTAATTTCGAAATAATATCCTCTTTCACAAGAGTAAAATGTAACAAGCTTGGTATAATGACGAATAGCGCGATGATACAACACAGGAAAATTAGAATCTTTGTCATTATCTTTTCAAATTTGGAGCTAGAAGATGAAAGTGGCCATACTCCTATCGTTTTCGAAAGCCATCTATTCATTTGTATGCTATATTCGTTCAGACTGCCAAACTTCTTCTGAATTGTAGCAATATCATCCGCCATTCTGTCTTTCCCCGACGAAGTTACAGAAACGACTGGATGGTGTATACACTGTCGTATGGATGATATACGTCGATCGATACGTGTATTCCGTTGCCATAACTATTAGCGCAGGCAGTTAATCTGTATATTTACGATTCAGTTCATTGACGATAGTTGCACGTGTCGCACAATGTGTAGTCGATTGATTGGTAGAAATTAAATTAGATATCTTAGTGGAATGATAAAATTTGTAAGACTTTTTATAATGGAAGTGTGATTTTGAAATATATATATTAGCAAATGTCAAACAAAAATGGAAGATAAATAAGTGAATTTTCTTTTTATTAATTACAATAATGTTTAAATCATACAGTATAGTATAGTATAGTATATAGAAAATTATGAATCTAAAACTACTAATCTTCTCAGAATAATTTTCGTAAAAAAAAGATCAACTCTAATTTTTATATTTGATGCATTAAATAATTTTTAAATACATAATGTGTTAGAATTTCTATTGCTTATTCTGAAATTTATATATGATCTTAGAATATAATTTTTGAAATAAATAAAATTTTCAAATGATAATCATTTTGGTAAAATTTTTCTGGTTGCATCACGAAATATGTAAGGATACAGATAGGTTCAAATATGTCTCAGATGATTGTAATATCTGTAACAGAAAATAATAAAGTGAAATATGAGTTTTGCAATTGATATGATAAAGGAAATCTTCCATAGATGAAACTTCCATTTATGTCACAAAAGACAAAAATAATTCTAAGAATTTTCCAGTTGTCAATTTTGAAGAATTTAAAATTATAAATATTAATATAAAATATTAATATCAATTTCTTGTAGATAATATTGTATAATATCAATTATTATTAAAAAAATTATGGAAAAATTATATAATACTATTATATAATTATATAAACTGACAAATTAATGATTGTCCACTCTAGAAAATGATTGAATGTGAATTTTAGTTTTCATTACAAATAATAAAACGAATAATTTTATAAGAACATAAAATATCTCTTCCGGAAAAATTTTATCAATGTAATATAATATGAAAATATTGAATATAAAAAATATGAGATACATTACGTTAATGTTTCTAATATTCTTATTTCTAAAAAATTGAAAACAACATATAACAAATATAATGCTGTTATTCAATCATAATCATTTAATAATGTATCTTGATATAATTTTATTATCATAAATTCATAATATCCCAGAAAATATATATTTAATGTATATTAAATTTATATATATATATTATACAAATTTATATACATGTATATATATATATATATATAATCTGCAAATTGAACGAAATCTATTTCGATTAGAAGATCTATTTAATATATAAAGCTAAAAATCATTATCTATAAATAATATTTTCATACAAATCTATATAAGTTGCATTTGTTCTTTATTTTTATATTATTTTTATATTATGTAAATGATGTTTCACAATATTACCTAGTTGTTCACGTATCTCCATGTTCTTATCTCTTTTCATACTGTCGAAAAATTATTATAATTTTGTCACATGAATTTTAATCTGTTCACAGGCATGCAAACACAGTGATCAAACATTTGACAGTTACGAAGTACATCACAAATGCGATTAAATATTGCATCAATTGCATGATTTCAAAAGACAAAATGGATCGAAAAATTCATAATTATATACTCATAATAGATAAAGAAATTTTAAGATGTCATGATTTCGTTATTAATCATTTTTTTCTATTTTGTACAAAGAGACATCATAATAATATAAAAGAATCGCAATATATAAAATCGACATAATTGATGGAATTTTAAATTTATGATATATGTTTATTTCAAATTTTTGATAGCTGATAATATGAATTGGACAATGTGTGTCCAATGTGCGCGCAATGGAAAATAAATTGTATATTTCTGAATTATTTTCAGTATCTGTATGTGATTTGGACATCCTACATTTGAAAATGTCATTCTAGAAATTAGTAGATGAAGATGATTTATTTTTTAATATTTTTTCTAAGATTATTTTTTTGAAATATAGATAATATTATGTATAATAATATTTAAACCATTTCTTAAAGATGATTGATCTGCAATAATAATATTTTAAACATTCTTTATAATTAAATCGGTGTAAGTATATTACATAAATATAAAAAAATTTTTTAAGTTTTCTTTGTGCAAGTATATTGGAATGTGCTATACTATAATAATATTATAAGATTATAAATTATAACTTTTCGAATAAGCAACATATACTTGATCATTATATATGAAACAAATATTTCATATTTCATATTCATTCAAATGAAATTACTAATATGCAAAGTTTATTATTAAATATTAGATACATATTTTTTTATATACTCAATACATGTGCACTTTACAACATTGTCATTTGGAATAATATATTTAAATACGTAAAA